TTTTAGGTAGCTGTCCACTGTAGTGACCACTGTTATCAAATCCAGCGTACAAATGTGCAGTTTTGGACACTTGAAGCTGACATTTGAAACTGTCGTATTTCAAATGTGATTCAGAAAGCTGCCGCCTGCACAGCCATCAGAACCCGGCTCATTCTCCCACTATCTGTGCTGGTTGGATCTCAGCGTTATTAATGGCTCCATTAATTTTACAAAGGTCTCATTTTGTTAGTGCCATAACACAGGTTTAACTTTTAAATCAGACACAGAGAGACTCGGAGCAGGTGAAAGAATAATAAATGGTATGATAATGTGCTGACCTTGCTGTAGCCATGAATAATTGCTGTGAACGTGTCATTTATATTTCAGCCTTATTTGCACTTTGCAGAGTGGGCCGAACCGTCGCTGTTAAAAACACTTAGAGGGATAAAACCAGGCGCCGGACCAAAACTAGCAACTGGACCTGAGGAAATTTAAATTTCAACATAAGTACTTAAAACGCGTTTCTTCTTGTCATTACTTGTGCCTGTAGATATCACATCTATTTTCACTTAAAATAAGAAAAAAATATATTTAAAATAAAATCTGCAGAGAATGGAGTGTTTATCAAGTAAAGCCTGAACAGATTTAAAATGGACTGGTGATCGAAAGCATGTAATTGATTTAATTAACATCATAAAACCATTCAAAGCAATGTTCTAAGTTGATAAAACATGAAAGCAACCTTTACTGTGTTTTATCTGCAGGTTATGAGTCAGTTATCAATACGTTGTACCAAAAGAGACTGACATTAGCGTTAGCTTAGCACTTTTTTTTTTTACAAGCTAGCTCTTTATGCATTTTAGTTTTGGGGTGCTGACCAATAATAAAACCTGATGACATGATGAGGCATGAATGCGTCAAGATGTTTCAGAAAATACTGATTAGTTTCTTATCGTCTCGGTTCTGGACTGACTTTCCTCTGAACTTGTGTTTTGGTCATAAGCTCTTTTCTTTCTCTGTAGTTTCTCTCCAGCTCTTCCTTCGTTTTATCAGCCTGGTGTTTGTATATTCTCCCGTGTTTCATTGTTCTCTGCTGGATTCTTGCGTCTCCCTCTGTGTCTGTCCACGCGCTGCCTCTTGGTCTCCTTTCAGTGTTCCTCGTTCTACTGAGGCGTCCTGTAGACGCTTCGGTAAACTTTGCGTTAAATCGTCGTACGACTGCCACACTGCGCTTCGATCCTCCACTCACCTTACAAACCAGGACACTTGTACTTCTGATGTATGTCTGACTTCCTTTTAAATACACCAGTAATACTGAACACAGTGTCTTTTTCACTCAGTAACAATTGCCACGATGAAGAAAGTTGTTGTCGGTTAGAGCCCTGTTATTATGTGCCATGTATTTACTGATCTGTAATTTTTTTTTAACTTTTTCAGTGTTTAACCGGCTGAACTCCCATCAGGGCTGATGAAGCAGAAATTTGTCCAATCTTCGTCAAAAGCCAGTATATCTGCTTCTGCTTTAATTTAAAACTGGTCAGTCAAGATTCAGATACTAAAAGAAAAGCAATGTCATGTGATTCTTAATTACAGAACAGTGAAATTTTAACTTACTTTTTAAGCTGTCTTGGATTTTGGAATTTAGCTACTAACGAAGTAAGATTCTCCACTTTTAAAGTTGATAAAATCCCGTATTTGCAGGCCTTTTCAACAGCCACAGTGTATTTGGTCATTTTGTTTAGGCCGCCTAAATATTCCCTAAATTCTCGGCACTAATGCTGCAGTCCTCAGAGTCAGGTAAAAGCAAACGTTCTTGTACTTTGATGGCAGGGAGTTGTGCATTTGCATAAATATTAATGAAACATCTGGCAGCTGCAGGGCATGTGTTATCTCCTTGTTATCGTCTAATGTATTTTTAATTATTGCATATTACTAGTTAGGCACCATCCATGAATGTAACCGAGGGCTCTGGAGCCTCCAGAGTTTCCACAACGAACATTTTCACCCGACATAATCGCGTCTCCCGTCGCTGAGCTCAGATTATGTTACAAGCCTCTGTGAAGCTTGGTCTACCTTGCGTAAGTGAGCAGTCCTCCTGGCATCAGTCACCAGCAAACACACACACACACACACACACACACACACACACACACACACACACACACACACACACACACACACACACACTGTGTTGTGAGTCAGTGCACCTCAGTGGTTTCACCATGTCCTCCCCTGAGTCTTTGATTGTAAATGAGCTAAACCTTAATGTTTGCCACGCCGTGGTGGTGGTGGGGCGGGGCGAGTGGGGGGCAGGGGGCGCCCTTCCTCTCATCTTTTAGCCCTCTGCTCTCCCGGGCGTTCCTGTCGTCTCACCAGGTCCAAACGGTGAAGTCATACCTTCCAAGGTGGCCTGTTTTTGTGCAGTGTCTGATGATGTCACCAGCAGCCAATCAACATGTAGCACAGCGCGAAGGAGCGCGAGTGTGTGTTCGTATGTCGGTGTTAGTGTGTGTGAGCGAGGGGGAGAGGGCGAGGTGACGGTGGGTGAGAAATCACAGCTGGGGGGAAAAAAAAATCGCTCAGTTATGTCTACTATCTGCTTCTTCCAGCTTTATTTTACAAAAGCAGAATCATTTCAGAACCCTAATCTTTCTGATAGGATTTCTCTCATATTCTTTTTAAGAAAGCTAAACGTTGCTTTGTGTTGATATTAACCTTCTCCGGTGTTTTATGAGTGGGGAGGTCATTCACAATAAGAAGTAATTATACAATAAACACTTTGATCGTAGCATGATGAAAGCAGTTTTCTTCCATTGAGGGGAGCCTATGCTGTGTCTTTTCATGCCTGTGTATTGCTGCTGTAGGAGGAATTTCAAAAGCTCAGAGCACTGGAGAGTCTATGGTCACAGCTTCAATGGATATTTAATTATCAGAGTAGTTTAATTGTTTGGTGCTTCTCCATGACGAACAAATGCTAATTGCAACACGGAGACAGTTTGAGGAGACTGCAACTACTAAATTGTATTTCTGTTCTACTTATACTAAGATTTCACGGTAAAAGCTGTGTTACCCATAATGCTATGCACCACATATCCCTGCTCTTAGTCATTCAGATACTTTGTTTTGGTCTCGTATCGTGGTGAAGGGTCAGTGCTAAATAGTTATTTAGCTAACATTTCTGACAATGATCACAAATGTTTTGCAGAAAAAGATTCCTTGTTAGAGTTGGATTGTTGACTTTGCTTGCTTGATGTTGTTTTGGTTGATGGCGCGTATTTAAAATGTTTTCTCATGTTTCCAATGGTTTAAAAGTAATTTAGCTTTGTTTTACACTTCTTAAATTAATGTATCTAAAATGAAGGCCTTGAAATGTCTTAAATTCATTGCAATGAGTTTAATTTAATTTTCTCTCACGGGACTTTACTGTTTCCCAAAAACTCTGAGTTGCCCGCAGATATCTTCACTGCGTTCTGGGACTTGAGGTGTGGTTGCGGCTACCACTAGCTTGCTGCTAATACTTGTTAAAGCTAGCCAGCTTTTTCTTAAAGTTCATCATGACTTACTGCAAATTTTTCACCAGTTGGCTGACTTACTCCAGCTGCTGACCTATATGATTTATTTATTTCCATTTATTTTGTACATTTTTGTCGTTACGCAGATGTTACGCATTACTATTATTGTTACTGAGTTGGTGAAACCTGGAGAAACTCTGCTTTCTGCCCAGGGAAGGGGACATATGTCTTTTATTTTTCACCATAAATTGAGTGCTGCACTGCTGAGTTCCACCTTTGACAAAACCGCACCAAGTCGTTCAGTTTTCAAGTAGAGATCATTCAATGCCCCCAGTTTTGTGAAGCCTTTAAACTTTTCACAGGTGAGAACAAGTTGACCCAGCAGATCCTGAGAGCGAGCGGAAACATTCAGACGAAAGGGATTACAGAACAGATAGCTGAATTTATCGCTATCTGAATTTATCGCTAATTTGTCCCTCTGGTCAGGAACTAGTTGTTTTTTTCATTAGCGCTGTATTAGAGCTACAGACTGAAGTCAAGTGAAGTCATTTTTGAAAAATGTTCTGGATAAAAAAAGGAATCTCACTGTAGTCAGTAACATAATGACTGATCCTGTTCGACATTTTCGCATAGGCTTTGCTAGGCGGCGCACAGAGACGCTTTCTGTCTCGGTTCATAGAGAGATAAATGACAAAGTTCTTGTTCTGCTTGCCGTCTTACTCTTTCGGTTCTGAAGGACATTCTTTCAGCTGCTGAGACGCTTGATTAGATGCGTTGACTTGGACGATGATACCATTCATTCTTTAAGCTGAGCCATGTTAGAACTGGCATGAGAACAATAGAAGGATTCAGATTCAGAGAGAGGACGTTCAGCGCTTCATTCTCCAGCTCAGAGTGAATTCTGTTCAGAAAGGGTCAAAGGTCGAGGTATTTCTGAATATCCAGACATTTATGCCACACTGCTTCTCTGCTGACGCCTCTCGGTGCTCTTGGAGACAAACAGGATGAAAGAGCTTCTGTTGAGGTGGTTTAAATTACTCTTACTGATCGTGCTACATCCTCCCCTCTGCAATGAATTTCTCACTTGCTCACATGCTGCTCAGATTGCTGAACTTGCGAAGTGGGATTTCTCACTATATCACTCTCTTCATGGGAGGAGCGTCGTTCTTTTCTCTTTTAACCTGAACTAACCACTACATTTCCTATCGAATCACAGAAGATATCCTAACCACAGAATACCATACCTGGTTGGTAGTCAAGAATATTTGTGTTTACTGTGCTTGGCATGAATATATTTGGTGGGGCAGAAGGACTTTTAGTCTTTTATAGAACCATTTGATATAGATGAGAAGAGACGAATTGGGAAATGTCTTTCTCCTAGGGATTATTTGTGCCACCCTCTCTGAAAAAAGCATCCATAAAATTACCCTTTGAATGGCGGGTCAGACTATAAGTAGACTGATGCATATCCTGGTACGTTTAATCTGACTTGTACCCTTTGTGTCCCAGGTGCCCACGGAGTGCGAGAGGAGCCCCAGTTTGTGACGGCACGCGCAGGAGATAGCGTCATCTTGGGATGCGACGTGCCTCACCCGCTGAACGGAAAGCCCTATGTGGTGGAGTGGTTCAAGTATGGAATGCCAATCCCTTTCTTCATCAACTTTCGCTTCTACCCTCCTCATGTGGACCCAGAATATGCCGGTAAATGTCCAAAGTATAGTCACGCCGATGGCTTTTTAGCACAGACAAGGAAAGCGGAGCAGCTTAAGTTGAAGTGACAGGAGTAGAGACATTTTTGGTGTTTACATTTTCTCTTCTGGGTGAAAGAAATTGATCTTTTCTTTATATCCACCTCATTGTTTTACTAATTTATAGCTATATATTTATGGCAGTGCTCACAGACTTCTTCAAGAAAGGACATTAAGCTTTCAGTCTGATAAGTCAGCCATGATTTCCTTAGTCTTGGGAGACCAGCGATTGACCAATGCGTTCACGAGAAACCAATATAATCACCAACCTTATTTACTTACGTGATTCTTAGGACAAAAAAAAAAAATTGTCCTAAAAAGTCAATTAAAATTTGGATTGGCAGATAAGGCTTTTTAAAAACTGGCAATCGGTCAGAAAACTGCAATCGCTGCACTCCAACAATGAACCCATATCGATTCGTAGAAAGTATATATGGATTTAGATATATCTATATCGGTCTTCCTTTTCTGTCCTGCTTTGATGTAAGCATTTTGTCCGAGCTGCCTGATCAGCTCTGCTCTCCCCTGCATGAGTTATGACAGCATAAATGAGATGACATTTCCTTAAGAGGCAGCAGCTCTTTCCATCCCACATTATTTATGTGCAGTAGGGGTCTGATTGTATGTCTTAGACTCGGGGAGTTTTATCACGCTTCTATTCATGTCCAACTGTAGCACATAAGTTGTCATTTCAGGAGTGTGAGATGGATTCAGCAACCACCAGGCCTTCAGCTATCTAGACACAAAGCATTATGGGATTACGTAACAGAGCGATGTAGCTGGTGGATGTCATGCTTTGCATTTCAATGGCGATCTCTCTGGGGTTTAATAAACGTGCATTGTTTTCAGTTGTGAGCTGCAGCCCCTTCACCTGCTGCAGAAGGTCCAGAAAATAAAAAATAATAACTTTCATTTTGATCATTTTAAATTGGTAGCCAGTGCAAGTCACATGTGCCAAATCTGGCCCACCGTAGCTTTCTATGTGGCCCTCTAGACTCCAAATTACATCAATTAGTCCCTCCAGTTTTTCACAAATCTGCAAAATTCCTACAAAATCAACAGATCCCCACATTTTTTCTTAAAATTGGCCGAAAACATTGGGTTTAAGTGACTGCTGCCTCAGCCTTACAAGATGTCGAGCTACAATCCGAATTGGCAGATCGGCCTTGTTAAAGATCAGCGATTGGTCAGAAAGTCGGTGTGTCTTTTCTAAAAAGAGTTCAGCTCAGTTACAAATCAAATTTTTTTTGTCAATTTTACCATCTGCATAAGGAATAATAATTAAAAAAAAAAACAGTTTCCTTAATACCAGTATTATCCAGTTTTACCTCAATGTGGAGGTACACCCGATAATGTCTGCATCAAATTAGCCGCAGCGTCGACCTTATCTGTAATGAGACACATTTTTACTTTTAACACGGGCGATTCCAATCTACCGATCTGTTTGAAAGCACACCGATTGATTCACCACTGTCTATATCAGATAAAGATGTCAAACACTTCCTGTCTCACCTGCAAGAGAAACACTGCAGATTAGAACATCGCTGGAAATAAAGATGATTTGCATAGTCCTGGAATATCATCACACACGCTATGAAGCACGGCATCGAGACGTCTTCAGGGAGTGCAGGTGGCTGACGATGAACATATCTGTTTGAAATACAGAATCACTGCCTGTGAGAAACACCAGACTTCGTTCTGATTACGCCACATGCTGAACTCCTGGGTAACTCCTCCTGCAGTAACCAGTGAAAATGTATCTGAAGAAGCCATGCTATTTATTTTGTTTTACTTTTACAGTCCTTTCTCTGTTCTAGTGAAGTTTGTACAGATCAGTAGAGAAGTGGAGGGGAATCGACCGGTAAGTCGATTGAAGGGAACTCAAGCGATTGGGACTGAACAGCTATAAGAAAACCAGTAATTAGTCAGGCTAACCAATTAAACGGCTTCATTTTGCAAGGGAGCGTAAAGATTGGTCATGGTCAGGGAGTTTTTCTAATAAATTTGTAGCAGTTCTAAAGTTTCACTTGTGATTTTTTAAAATCTCCCTTTCCCTTCTAAGGAATAAAACTCGATTGAACTTAAAATTTGTCTCCATGTTAGATCCATAAAGCTCTCCGTGTCGTGTTATGTGTTAACATGTAGTCGTTTAGCAGATGGTTTTATCTGCAGTGACTCACAAAGTAGAATCAAAACGAAAGCATCAGCCGCTCCAAAGTAAAGCAGAACTACAGATGGGACAGAAACGTGTCTGATCGTTGAGTAGATGAAGCGTTCCCTGAGAGATTAGCTTTTAATTTTACACTGGACTCTCTCTGGGATATCCATGACCTGATACCGTTGGGAAGCGTTTTTAAAGTAAAGTATCGGTGACGCGTCAGTGAACATTTTTTCCAAGTGAACACCTGTTCTTCTTAAGTAAAGATAAACCTTTATTGGCCTTTGCCACCTCTAACTTTACCTCGCTTTTCGGTCAGGAAGTAGCTACTTATAGCTGATGTCATATAAATCATGAAGTCAAACATGTCTTATCAAAACTGGCTCACAGATGCTGGATGGACTGATTGTTGCCGTAAAAGGCTCTCAAACATTGGAGTCACATAAGAAATGCTCTCTATTTCTGAGCATTTCTTAAAGGGGCAGTATTATCTAAAAATCAACTTTTTTTTAAAACTTTACTCATGTCATAATGTTATTCTCTCATCATAAACACACACCTTTATTCTTTAATGCTTGTTAGAGAAAGTCTTAAATCTCCCGTGGCAACCGTTCAGCTGTGAAAAACACCTGGGTGGACCGAGGGCCGCCTTCCTCAGAGCCGCAGTTTCCAAGCTCACAGAGCACCTCTGCCCCGCACCTACCCTGCTCAGCTCCTTCAGACTAGCCAGCAGCAATTAGCAAACACCTGGCGGAGCTGGGGATCTGCTGAGTTCGTCATATGAGCTGCTTCTCAGTGAGACGCTGGTAAAACGTTAAAGGGTTGTCAGAGCAGCCGTGACGCGACGACTTCCTGAAGGCGGAGTTTCAGAAAGAGCAGGAGCTTTTAAAGAGGCCCAATTTCAATGCGTTAAATTACGAAGTCACATGTCTTTTAAGTCATATTTGATATATAGAGCATTTTTATAAACAACTGAAGGTAACGTAGTAACTTGATTGTGCTATAAAATAGGACAATGTGGCTGGAAAATACCCAGCACTGCCCCTTTAAGCGTACTAAGGTTCTAAACTGAGCTGGTTTCCATTATTCTCAACACAGGTCAGGTATTTTGAGCCCACTTAACCCTGCTGTTGGTTTAGCAAATTTGATTTCCTTCCCAAGATAGTTTGAGATTATTGCTATTGTCTGTTAATGACTCCTCCCTCTCCTCTCCGTCTATGTTGCGCATATGAAAGAGACTCTGTGACTTCAGTCTCAACCAGCACATATCCGTCTTCTCTTATTTGCTCTGGTAAACGTTCCTCGCTGGGTAGGAAGAACTGGATGTTGTTTGAGCTGAATAATTACTGTTGTGGGATTACACGCTGCTGAGTTCATTACTGAAAGAAAAGGCTTTTAAGTTTGCCCACACTGGATTTTGTGTGTGATAATGACATAATTGTGACTTTGTGCGGTTAATGGAGTGTGGAGACAAAACAAGGCCAGTGAGATTTTAGAGTGTTCGTTTTTAAATGCCACCAAAACCCCTCGGTGACTTCTAACCACAGTCGGGCTAAATGGATCTTTTCTGTTTTTGCTGGTGCCTTTAATTTTACTGCTGCAGTCAAATGACATGGAGGCATTATGCAGTGATGCCGCTTTTATAGAATGAAGTGGTCCTTTGTGCGCTCTGCACGTCATCGTCGTATCTTTGAGATGGCGGCTTCGATTTGCTGCTGTTTTTTGTGTCATGAAAAGCGCTGTTGAATATTTTAGGCCTTACATTAGCAGCACAAGTGGGGAATTTTCCAATCAATGCTTTTCCTTCAGAGCCCAGGGGGGCAGTGAGGGTTCCATCCAAATCTGTTCCCTGTCTGCTAGCGCTGCGTATCGGTCTGATATTTACATTTTCCTGAAACACAAATGGGAAAAACTGCACTTTGTAAATACATTTAAGTTGTATTTTTGCAGTGTTATTTATAAAATACTAGAATTACCCAGAAAACACAACCAATAAGCATGTGACCTGACCCGCATACTACACCCCAACATCACACGTTTCTTTCCCCATCTACCTTGTTCTGCATAATAATACTGTTTTGGCTCGTTCTTCCTGCTGTGTGTTTAAAATCTAATTGTCTGCTTCACATGCAGCGCCGTGTGAGATCAATAAAACTGCTGAGCATGCAGTGCTGCTGGTTTTGATCAAATAAGGAGTCGATTCAGAGCGCAGTCGGGCAAAGCAACGATATCAGGCCGACACCAGAACCACAACTGTCTGACACAAAGCCAAAGGCGATCGCGTCAGATGAAATTCCTGAAGCCGAGGGAGAGCAGTTCTCTTTAACGCACTGCCTGACAAAAAATAAATAAATAAAAATAAAAAAAAACACAAAAACTGAGATGAAAAAAAATCACGTCAGGTGTCTGTAGGATCACACGGATAAAGGAGTTTGCGGTACCACCACAATACCGGTCCATTGTCAGCAGAGTGCGGCCTTGAAACAAGCAACGATTAAATGTGGATTGAAGTCGTAAAAAAACCCACAGAGTTGAAATCTGAGCTGATCTCACATATTTGAAAGATTTAGAGACCCGGATGCCAACATGAGGACGTCAGCAGCAACCCACAGAAACACACAGGTAAAATATGTTGAGTGAAGTTTATTGGTTTAGCACATTTCAACAAGAAGGCAGTCAAAAGTGCTTTACATGATATAAACGTAACACCATGTGCAGACAAAAGAACATTAAATTGCAGTGGCAAAAATAAAGTTGCAATACAGACTAGAATTAATCAATGTTTCAGTTTTTATGAGTAAAAGGCAGCTATAAACCGGTGATTTAACTCTGAGCTCAGAGTTTCAACTGCTTTGCACTTTTCTGTCCGTTTGTTTCCAGACTAGTGGAGCATAGAAGCTTCTCCATGTTTGGTTCTGGTTCTGGGCATGCAGAGCAGACCAGAACCAGAAGACCTGGATGGTCTGATACAACAACAACAACATTGAAGACAATAGAAAATGTATTTATTGAAGTAATTAGCTAACTGCAGGAAAGCAGACATCTAGTGACTTATTACTTCAAATATACATGCTGCAACTTGGTATCATGAACACAATTAAATATAATAGCAGTTATTGCTGTTGGGGTTTTTATTTCTTTGGCTTTGGGTGTGCTACTCAAACATTTTCATGATTTTGTCAGTTTTCTAGTTTTCTTATTTTCAATGATCATCAGTTTATGGCTGCAGCGTTTTGTTGCAGTCCATCACCTTATTAAAATATCTCAGGCCTTCTTTGCAATATTTCATAGCGGCCGTCAGGGGAAACTTCAGGTTTAGCTATTACCATGTGTGATTTTTTTTTTTTGTCCTGCAGAATTTAAAGCAAGCCAGGCAACTTATGGGGCCGCGGTGTCTCCCAAGATCTCGTTATCAGCCCCCCCTGAGCTTTCAGGGATCAAGGATCCTTGTTCAGGGTTTCACAGAGTCGCCTGGTAGTAATAGTTTAAACTCTCAGGCCACACAGTTAATTGGAATTTGTCTGCAGCTATACGCCATTATATCAGTAAGCAACCCACAAATATGGTGGTGTTTTACACCAGTTGAAGTCCATCTGTTCAAAACCCAGACATAAACATCTTCATGCCTTTTAGTTTTAGCAACCTGACAATGTCTGGATATTTCAGAATGGAAATCAACCAACTTTTCACAGGGATTTGACTCATTTTGGAAGAATTGTTAAAAAAGGTAACACATAATCGAATGCTACTCTGTCTTTGGTAAGCTTTACTTGTCTGCTGTAAACGGGTGAAGAACACGTCTGTGGAAATGTCCAGCGATGTTTGAGGATTTTGTCCCTGTACAGATTTATTCTTCTTGGTTAAAATTAAAGCAGATTCAAAGTACACTTTTTAAAGAGAAACATTGTTTACTAAAAAAATAAATATGAATATAAAGCTAATAAGCAACCTCAAAACTGACCCTACCATCGATTTTGTTTTTTTTGTCCCATTCTTCATTAATCAATAATTGTTTTCCTCTTAGAAAATGAAATAATCACAGAAAAGTGAATTTTCCATTTACCTGGGTTTTTCTTTGAAATTTGATTATCAGAAACATCAAAAAACGAGAAGAGGTCAAATACTTTTTTCCCAGCATTTTATGTCGTTCGTCTGCTGTCTCTTTAATTCGTACTACTTTGTATACATAGAGTTAAAATCAAGAATTTAATGGTACTTTCAGTCATGCTGTGAATTTTCTCTTTGGTATTTTACAACCATCTGCAGCTGGGGGAACTCTCCACTCTCAAAAGGAATCTTAGAAGATAGTTTACAGCGAGTGACACATTAGTACCGTGTTCATGTAGACTCACTCGAGCGTGGCTTCTCATTTACTTTAATGCTTTAATACATCAAGTCCAATAGGGCATCCAGAGAAGAGACCGTTAACGCTCAGCCAATGAGAACTGAAAGAGCCAACTGAAGCCAAATTATCTTTAAGCAAACAGTTTTAGTGTAGACATAATCAGCGTTTAATGCTCATCGGTATGAAATAAATACCCTAGCAAAAATAAGCAGCAAGGCAACCCTCTTCTGTCTGGTTTCAGTCACAAAGAAAACAGCAATGAATGGAAACCAGACAAATAGAAGCTCATAGTTGACTTAATGGTTTTCCCTTTGGTGCAGACATGTTATGTGGAACTACACTACTGGCAAATTTGTTTTTTTTTTCTTTTGCTCATATGCGACCTGTATCCGACTTTTTCATAGCAGTTTGAAGCGCTCAATTCGGATGTCTTTACTTTTCCAAAAATATCCCATTTCTGCCACCTCCATATGTGATACCAAATCAGATTCGCAACTGATCATTTTCAAAGGATCAGCAGCAAAACTGGCACATCGCATTTTATCCAACTTTTAAGTCTAGCGTCTTAGTTTTGCACCAGAAGAAGCAAGACTCTTTAAATCCGGATGCAATACAATGGCTAAAAATTATAACTATGCAATTATGAAAGAAGTCTGTCGGTGAAGAACATTACATCACAATCTCATCCAACCAGACTTCTTTGCAGAAGGCACAGTCAAAGCACCACAACACTGTATTCATTAATATTCGTTGTACCTTTTCTTTATTAACAAGTTACGATGTTGTGATGTAACATTGCTGAGTAACTTTAAAATCCATCCATTATCCCTTCTGTAAACGTCGCGCTGCTGTGTGTGTAACCCACAAGAAAGGTTAGTTTAAATACATTTAATAGTAGATGGCAAGTTAAGTTAATTTGCTTTCCTAATACCAACACTACAGAAGTACAAAGGAAGTTGGGCCTGATCAGGAGATTCTAAATTCGGGGGAGCCTAGGTGTGAACAACAGAGGAGAGCACACAATGTATATAAAAAAAAGTAGAATTTAATATAAACAACATTTGTGGATCCACATTGTACAAATAAACAAAAATTGCGCGTTTTTTTTTTTTTAAAAAAAGAAAGAAATTTAAATAAAAGAAAAAACCCAGTCTTTTTGATGTCTGTCAAATGTTATTTCAAAGTTTGTTTAGTCAATGTTTCACGGCTGGTGACCAGTCGGGTCACCATCTACCTGTTCACTCGGTCCTCTGGGCTGGGGCTCGCCATCCAAGTTCTTGTAAGGGTGATCTTGACGTCTCTGGGCATGATGCTTCAAAAGTGCACCATAAAGAAAAAAAAAAACCTGACCTGGAAGAAAGTAAAGCATCTTAAAATTCAGGATGCTAATATCAACAAAGCTTAAGCAACAATTCAAATTTCAATCTAAAAGTGCCAAAGTACATCTACAACACTAAATCTACATTCAAAATGTGGATTATTAAATATTAAAACATGTACTAATAGAAAAAGAAGTAAATTTCCGTAGGACAAATACAACATATACAATAATAATGATATAAAGTTTACAATTCAATTTTATTTTTTATTAAATTTGAACAATTATTAGGTATTTTAGCCAATTTTTAGTGAATTTACTTGGCCAACGGCTGAGTGTGTGCGATTACTCACCGATGCTTCAATGCTACACAACTACAGGGGATTTTTTCCAGATGTCAGCTAGTTAGAACAGAAGCTTTCTGAGATCTAATTTAAAAAAAAAAAACAGATTCACTATTTTTAATTATAAATTCTGTGATACTATTTTAACATTGTCTTACCAATTTCCAGGATTCTTCGTAGAATTTAACACAATCTTATAAGGGATTCACGGGACAACCGTCAGCTCTCAGCTCTTAAGGGAGTTGTTAGACGCAATCTGAGCTAAATCTCAGCGCTGCAGTTAAAACATATTCGTTTTTTTTTTTTTTACTTTATTACTTTTTAATCTCGTTGTAGAATAAGATATTAAATCAACATCTATTCATTTTTTACTGGGTGTGTTTTTAACACTGGGTTACATGTGACATCGACATTCTTCTTTTTGATTGGAAACTGCTAACACAGAAGTCTGATTCCAATTGTATCTAAATTAGCAGCATAATTGACAAAGCAAAAAAAACAGAAGAATACAAAAGTGGATTTCAGAAAAAAATCGGAATCTGACATAAACTGCCCCGGTGCCACACATACTGTATGTCCTTAGCTTTCTGCATTCCTTAAAATTAGGCCATAAAACACTAAAATAATCAAGTCTCGACATTCATGCATGTTTCTTAAATTGCCGCGAGAAACACCTTCCAATTGGGCAGTGAGGGGATTGATGCTGGAGCTCTGGCAGCCCTTTGTTTCGCCTTCGCTTCCATCTGTTTTGATCCAGTTGCCTGATTGCCTGGAGCCACTTGGTAACCCCAGTCTCAGCTTTTGATCTGTGATCTGTAATGGTGGAATCCAGCTACTCCTGACTCTACTTACCAACTCCAAAGCTAATATCTGTCCTGATGGATTGTGAGTAACCCCAGGGGTTACCATCCATCTTAAGCACGTTGTCATGTTGGCTTCTCCCCATCCCTCTGAGGGAGTAACGACCTGTCCTTGCCTGAGTGCGTCTGTTAAAATAGAGCACCACACTCATGGAAAACAGGGCATCTCAGGGATACTTAAATGATAGATTGCTCTGAGTATCCAACTGCAGCTTTGATGTCTGATGTTTACACTCTAAAGTGTCCTTAGAAACCGGCTTTATGTGTTATGATGTTTCAATAAGACACTGAGACTTTACTCTGTGATCCCTGCATATTTATATCCAAATGTTAATTCAGTTTTTGCCTGGTACTTTGCGTCCCTCATCTCTATAAATAGACCTCGTCTGTTCATCCGTCCATTCATTTCCCTTAACTTCTTTGACTATCTTCTGTAATCCCCCCCTCCCCCCCAACTGTTCGTGCTTCACCGTTTCCCTCTCCGTTGACACCTGATCTCCCTTTGTTTCGTCCAGGTCGGGCCATTCTGCACGGCAAGTCGTCCCTGCAGATAGAGAACGTGCGTTCAGACGACCAGGGCTGGTACGAGTGTAAAGTGCTCATGCTGGAGCAGCAGTATGATACCTTCCACAACGGCAGCTGGGTGCATCTGACTGTAAACGGTAGGAAACATCGGGCATCATCCAGCTGTTCAGTCTGAAGATGTGGGACGCTTTGATATTTAAGAACCCAATACCTTACTGGTTGCTCCTACTCTCTCCCTCCCCAAGATAACATATCTCACATGAAACAGAAAACAAAGTAGCACTCCATGTGCAATGTACACACATAGCTATACACATACAGAACAATGCCGTTAGAGTTGTACTCCTCATACTTCAATCAGAACTAAATATCCATCCCCTCATTTGCCAGCTTTAAGCCTCCATCATCCTCTAGTCAGGCGCACTAGGACACTTGTTACTGTGGTAACACACACTTTGTCTTATCCTGTATGCGTTACTAGTGCCTACCCCTGGGGTCGTGGCACATTAACTCAGTTTCCTCAGAGTTTCTCTCTTCCCTGCATCCCTTCGACTCACCTCTGCTGCTCTCTGTTCTGCGTGAAGCCTCGTGTTTCCTCTGCCTCTTTCTACTTCGTGTCGTTTCTCCTGTGCCCTTCAGCGTTCTGTCACTAAACCAGACATGACCTACGGCGCTCTAGTCTCATGACATCAGCCTGTGGTGTTACTACACCAAAAACCACTGAGATCAGCTCATGCTTTACAGGCCTGTCACAATACAAATTTAAATGGACGATAGATTGTCCCATAATTTATTGTGATAGAGTTTATAAATCTGAAGTTTTGGGATTCATTGCAATAAACAATAATTTTGTTTTGAGATCATTTTCAGTTAACGTAATGAATGTATACCTAGGCCTGTCACGGCGATACATTTTATTGGATGACAAATTGTTCCAGAAGTTATTGCAATAAGCAAACTATTGTTGATTTTAAGCAATTTTAAAATAATATATTGATAATCGCAAAACAGTGTAAGTTTGCCATTAAAGACTAAAAGATGTTGTACAGAACATCCCAATCTTGAACTGAAAGACATTTTAAAGATCCAAAATAAAACACAACTAAAAACAAACAAAAAAAAGGAAATAAAAATCATACACAACTGAATCGAATGGATTCTAAACAAAATTGCCCTTCAAAAATATTACTCATCAGAAAAGTAATTATTGAGCTCATTTTGATTTATTATGCCAATAATTGAATAATTGCTTGACGCGACAGGCTCAATGCTTTGTGAGCAGCCAACATGCAAACACATCTATTATTAGTCTGGCTAAAGATGTATTCTTTACTACATGTTCTGACAGATATATGATTTTAAATTTAGGACAATCTTATTCCTGAGAATAGCTTAGTGTTTATATGGTGTCAATACAACACAACCAGTCAGAACCTCAGAGCACACATCCTCCCTCAGTGGTAACTCTCCTCAAAGCTCTGCTGGCACCAGGAAAACCGTCTGCATCACCTGGGAAACGGCATCACCGATTTGTTTAAGCTTTCCTTCTCTTTCCACGTCACAAAAACATGGAAAGTTCTTCTTATGAGTTCTGCCGATAAGTTCTTAAATGCTAAGGGTTCTGCACTTCTATTTATAGTTGCTCGCCTGCAATCCACATTTCCCCATCATTGTCAAACATCAGAGCTTGTCCGTGATTACACCCAGCACTTAATCTGTCAGCCTCGTTGTCACTGAAGAGTAAGTGCTGCATATAGATTTCTGTTTAGATGAAAATAGATTAAAGCTTGTGCTTCTCCTCGTCAAACTGACACCTCTTCTTCTTCTTCACGGCCGTCACATCCCCTCCAGACTCAGTTACCGCTGGTTGGACTTCGCGTGGTGCTGCCTAATAATGTTGATCCCGGTTCTTTTCCTAACCTGATCTGGCAGCTAGTTACGATCAGTTGTTCAAGTTGTTTTCCCAAATTGAATCTTGCCTTTCAAAAGGAGTACGACTCTGCTTCAAAACGTTGGTGTCTCACTTTATATGCTAACTGAAATTAAAACGTTTTCACGTTTTAAAACTTACAGAAAGTAAGTGAAAGAAAACTGGGATTTTTTTTTGTTGGTTTTTTTGCATGATGTCTAGTTTGGTTTCTGTTAACCTCATTGGATCTTCACTCCAAATAGAATAACAACATTCAGAAGCCTGGAGTTATGAGTGTGATTTCCACTGTGTTTTAGCCATATTTCTGGCTAACACACTTTCTGTGTTAGGCGTCCATAGACCCTGGAGAGACTCGGTCAGCCAAAATAATAATTGTAATGAAAAAAACAACAACAATGTTCGAATCAGAGAACTATATTTATGATGCAAAAGAAAAATATTTCTGTGATTTTAGTCCAAATTTAATTACCGTTTTTTTCTGACTATAAGCCGCTACTTTTTTCCTACACTTTGAACCAAGCGGCTTTTCTGGTGATTTTTCTCCAACCACCAGGGGGCGCTTTAGCAGGAAGTGAGTCATTGGAAGTCAAAATTGGAAATCAAAGAAGAAAGCGCTAATTTTCTTGTAGAACAAATGTATGCTAGCAGCAGGTACGACTGAGAAATTTCTTCAAGCTCGTATGATGCAGCTTTTAAGTTGAAGGCTATCGATCTGGCAGTATAGGAGGGAAATAGAGCCGCTGAACGTAAGCTTGGCGTGAACAATCCATGGTTCGGCGTTGGAGACGGAGGGCTGCGTCAATTATCAACGGTGCCAAATGAGCCGCGTCCCTCCGCTTGAGAGCGGCGGTTTATCAGCGGCTTATATATGTACTTTCCAGTGTTTTTTTTATTTGTTGGTGCGGCTTGTAGTAAGGTGCGCTCTATAGTCTGGAAAATACGGTAATAAAAAAGAAAAAGAAAAAATGCATCTAAATTAACAGTCATGCTAATGTTCATGCTAATGAATTTAATACTTATGTACATCTCATCAGTGTGTTGGCTGTTGTATATGTTGTGTCCAAGTTTTTATGAACTTCTATCGAGTTCATATTTAAGGTTACATTATGCATTTGTGCTACATTGTTATGTTATCCACACTTTAATGAACACCCATCTTCATTTTGCAATTTACAGTTTCCAATACGATACATGTTTTATTATTACGTTTTGATCTGGTTCCTCTGTTAGACATTGCAGGGTCACATGCAGTTTGCTGTGACACAATGTGAAGCCTGGAATTAGAGCTCTGCCCCGGCTCATGGCAGCGCATGGAATATCATGTTAGCATATGAGAAGCTATGGGATTATGCTTGTAAGAAGATTAGCTTTAGACCTAAATTGATTAGTCTGAGATTTGAATGTTGGTTTAATTTATGTTTGAGTTACAGATGATATCATCATGTAAATGCAGATGGAGCAGAGTTGAACTGGGGTAAAACAGAGAGATTAAATATGTTTAACTGTTTTTGGCTCGGACGATAGCTCGCTAGTTATGAATAATCGCCCCTGTTTATAATCCCAGGTATCCTGAGCAGACCAGAGGATCTAGTAAAAGGGTTTTACAAAACCTCTGCCGCTCTATAAAAAACACTGTCTTTTACAGAAATATTAGAAGTTTACATTCAGTATCACAAAAAGACATCCAGTTTTGATAAATGTCTTTAATACACAACTTTTTTTTTCCCTAAGAAAAAAACCATGCCATGTCCTTGAAGAATATAACACTCCAGGCTCACATCTTTATTTCAAAATGTCTTCCATAAAGTCCATCTACAGATACTTCATGTGGGTCGGCTGTGAAACAAAGGATGGATATCTGGAAAGCTGTGGTGGAGGATCTGTGAGGATCTGTGATGCTTTAACCCGTTTCTTTAACCCCAAGCTTGGGGAAGCTTGTTAAAATGCATAACATCATAGACTCTGTAAAATACCAGGACATCTTTAATAAAAATCCTGTGCATCCCACCATAAAACAGAACATGTGTTGCAGTATGATAATAAACCAGAACATGCAGCCAAATCAACATAAATGGTTCACCAGATACTTCCATGGCAAACTCAAGTCTCCGGTCCTCAATGTTGTAGAGAACCTGTGTCCTGGTGTAGCACACAGGTTCTATAAAAACTAAATATATCTATATTTCTTTCCCCTATATTTCTGTCCCACTTTGTGTTGTCTGTGAATGCACCTTGAGTTATGTGCTCACAGAGTAGCTGCATCCGTCATGGAAGTTACACGTTTACCTTTGACCAGTTGTGGCCACTGAGCAAAGATACACTGACTTTCTCAATCAGATGACTAGAAGAAGGAGACAATCGACACAGAGGGACGTTTTCATCTGTTTCAGCGTAAAATGATCTTGGAATTGACCGAGTGGGCTTGGGTGACCTTGGATTAACTCTGACAAACTTGGATTAAGTCAAACCTTGTCGAACAGTCTGGTGAGATCTGGGATGATGGAATCCCAGCCTACAACTGAACTTGTCCTACACACTAAACTCGTCTCACTAAATTAGGTTTGCCCACACCTGAAACAGTAGTTAGTTTTCAGACCACGATTTCTCATATGGACTCTTAAAAACTCTGTGAACGTTTTAAACTGTACAAACTCATATTTGGGGCCTGTGTTGTGTTGCAGACGCGGCTCATTTGGCACTGCTGATAAATGACTTTTTGTTCTTTTTCTCTGACTTAGAGCAGAGCGCTTAGTACCCCTCCCTGCTCTAACCCTCTGAAAAGTTATAGAAGACCATGTTCTGTCCTGTTGGTAAATGACGATCACACAAGGTATTAACATCAGGGATGATATCCAGCTGAATAAAATCCACCTGAAAGGCTGGACTTCTCTTAAGATCTTTGTGAAATTACATTACTGCAGCAGAAGCCTTGGCAGACGAGTACACATAAACCAGAGAACCAAAATGAATTGTTTCAAATATATTTAATAAAACTATTCAAACCGTGAATTGTCTCAAATATGAAAGAGTCTCGACTCTTAACTTGATCCTTTGTGGGAGAGCCTCTGTCAGCATTTGAGCTTAAAGTCTTTGTAGTAAGCCCTGCAGTTGGATGTGGGCAGCTCATCCCATTCTTACTGGCAGAAGCTCTGAAGCTCTTTCAGGCTTGAAGGGAAGCATCTGTTCTTTGCCGTCTACAGATCTGGGCTCCTTAAATTACAGGAACAAACTTTAATGGCTTTCATTTCATGCAGAAGACAAACGCAGTGCAGTAAAAGTATATGTGGTTTAAAAAAAATATTGGAAACATTTTTTCATTTTTCTTTTGTCTGTGTGCTACTCTGTACTAAGGTTTGTGGTCAAATGGTAAAAACCTAAGAGGTGTTGGTACTTCTGTCATCAATCACACTTATCAGAGGTCTTCAAAAGCGTTTAAACCGACATGAAGACAAAATATACATAGATCCTGCATTATGTTAGTCATGTAAGAATGGTCCCTACTGGTACCTCATGTAGTTCATGTCCTTCTTGTCCCGTGTCTCCTCAGCCCCTCCCACATTCACAGACACACCACCTCAGTATGTCGAGGCCAAGGAACGGGGGAGCATCACGTTGAGCTGCACGGCGTTCGGCAACCCAAAACCCTCTGTCAGCTGGCTGCGAGAAGGCAGTCGTCTGATCAGCAGTGCCAAGTACAAGGTAGATGTTGCGTTCCATCTATCCACCAGGGATGTGGGCTTGTTTTTAGGACGGAAATAAAATTGTTACTGTTAACAGGATAGACCGAATGACATGGAAACACGTGCCAATGCCACATATTTACCAGTGGAAGTTGTTGCCTTCACATAATGGTACTAATGAAAGAAAGATATGCCATTCCAAGAGTATGCAGCAGTTACGTCAAAGTCCTCTATGGCCAGGAAGTCATAAAAGACATCCGGGTCATAAAGAAACCAGGTGCTGGCTGCATTAGACACAATTTTAGAAAACTGATTGGTCGAATCAAGAGTCATGCACACAAACTCTATGACTAAGTAGGTTTTTCTTCAGGGAGACTCGGGGCTGAGAAGGTTTGAGTTGGAGCCCATACCATGGAGGAGATGACGGTGAGGTTTCAATCAAGAAGAAGAGAAATAAGAGAGGAAGTCACGCACCAGGTCTTGAGGTGGAAATCAAACCCAGAACTACAGCCTCTGTGTGCCGGTTCTACAGCTGCATTAAGCGACGCCCTGACAGATTATGGTTATTACTGAGGATCCAGGATAATGCTTAAAGACCTGATCAGAGAGCGCTGTAACGCAGACAGACACTGGGTGGTTTATTTGACCTCTGGTGTTGGACAGAATCTTGTTTCAGCAGGGATCAGGAGTTCTTCTGCAAGGGAACAGAGAAGTCAATCCTCCTGGGATGAAGGTCTGCGGACAGGAAGTCCTGTTGTGTGCGCCGCCGCAAAACGACATGTCGCAAGCTACTGATGTTAGGGAAAAACACACATGCATCGAAGAGAAATAATCATTAAATATCATTAAATAATCATTTAATGATCAAATTTTTATGTTTTTGTTTGACTTTACTCTGATTACACCACATATATTCAATATATTCCCTGCATCTATTTTATCTTTAGGCTTTATAAACCACTTTAGTGCCTCCTTTAGAGTTGGCAGCGGTGAACGGGAATTTTATTTTGTCTCTTCTGTAAATAAAAAAATCACAGCTCAAAAGTTTTGATGTGTGAGAGAGGTGAGACGTGTAGATTAAGAGTTTATTGCTTGTTTTATAATTGATAACTGAATGATGTTTTCATGATGTAAAGCACCTTAAACTGCCATGTTGCTGAAATGTGCTACACAAACAAACTTGACTTGACTTAAGCCAGGTTACTCCATAGCAATGACCTGTTTCTGAAAGCTGAACATTGTTTAACGCTTTTAGGTGTCTGATGGGAATTTGACGGTGCTATCCATCACCCGGGAAGATCGCGGGGCCTACATGTGCCGAGCCTTCAGCCCCCAGGGAGAGGCCATTCACACAACAAGGCTGCTAGTCCAAGGTTGGTGCATCCTGGTTTTCCAAATTCCATCGCTCCTGTGTATTTCTTTTCTTCATTTAAACACAGACAAAACGAGAAGCTGTCCACACTGTGTTACCTTGCACCAAGGGAGTCATGGGCTTGAATCCCATGCTGGTGTTTGTATGTTTTTCCATGTGGATGTGGGATTTTTCCCTCTGGGCACTCAGGATTCCTTCCTCAGTTCACAATAGCTTGTAATCATGTTTTCTCTGTATTTATAGTAGGGCTGAAACAATTAATCGGAGTAATCGTGACGACTACGTTATTGAATGTTTGTCTGCAAATTTAGTTTTTGATTAATCTTTCTCTGGACTATATAGACTCAGAAAAGGCCAATATACTCAGAGCAATAAATAAGCCAAAAAATGTACAACAAGAGAGCCTTAAACAGTACTTGTGTGCGTCGTACTGTATAGATTTGGAGTCCACAAAGAGATTGTTATGGACATAAACATCATTGTTACGATAAGATTTGCTGCACAGTGCCTGGGGGTCGGGTCACAGTTCACGACCGTCCTGTATAATTTCTGGGAAACGCGGATTAATAGACGGCCTCCTGAAAAGCCAGCGAGCAGCAGATCAGCAGACGCCACAGTGCCAACAAATCTTCAGGACTCGGCTTGTTCCAAATAGGCCGGGTTGGCACTGACACACAGGCACACACTGGCAGCCGTCACCAGCAACATTACCACCAGGCTCACATAGTCCTGGTTGTCCTTCAGACTCGCTGGCAGATGGAAACACTCTGCATGTTCAAGTATCAAACTGCACGCTGCTAATCAGTGCTAGCATATGGGAAAGACACTTTATAGCAGCAACATTGGCTCGCTGTGTGTGTTTGTGTGTCCCTGTGTGAAGCTAAATTCTAACAAATTACACATTTGTTAACAGAAGTCCTGTGTTTTCTTTTTTTTTGTTTTTGTTTGTTTGTTTCATTTCCAGCGGGGTATTTGGAGCCAGTCTGAAGCAATAATAAAATGATACAACTCAGCAGTAAACCGATTTCAATTGTATCGTCATGGTTTTTGTTGCTGTTTTTTTTTTTTTTTTTAAACACAAATGCATTCACTCACAGAAGAGTTTCTATGTGGCGTGTTTTGAAAATCATCAGGAAACTTTGCACACACCACCTCTGTTTTAGTAAGTCATTTTTAACAGGATGTATATTTTCATCTCTAATCACTCTTTGAAGATTTAATATGCAGAAGGAGGCAAGCAACAGATTGATAGTAAAATAACTATATATGTATCAAACCTGAAGTGTATATATATATATATATATATATATATATATATATATATATGTGTGTGTGTGTGTGTGTGTGTTAAATAATCCTCTGCTATTCATTTTTGTTCCCCACGACTACACTGGCACAACCACATGTAGATTTATTCTAATTACTGTATCTGTTTCCTCTTAGCAGCATGCATCATCATCATCTCTCCAAATGCCATATAATTCTCTCAATGTATTTTTTTGTGTGCTAGAAATAATTAATTCAGAAACAGATCTTAGCTCCTCACCCATTCATGGCTTTTAAGAGTTTGTCTTTTTCTAAATCAGTTTACTGAGTATAATTTGGCTCGTCCAGCCGTTTGTCCAAATCTGTTTCTACATGTAGTGACGCATCACAGCCAATGTCACCTTAAAGCATTTTGCAAGACAAACAGTTCAATAATATATTATCTTCCTCTCTGCATTTTAGCAGAATGTAGACATGGATCATTGCAATAGAAATGATCCATGACATTGGGACATGAGGGACTAAAATCAGGCTTTACTTGGTCTAAATATCCACGACTCCTTTAAGTAGTAAACTGATCGGGACAAAACAACTTGTGGCAGGAGAAAAGTGGAAGTGAACCCATAACTGTCAGTTTGCAAAATGAATGTTAAGTTGTATTTTTTATTATTTATTCAACCTGGATTCATCTTATATATTAAAGACACACATAATTTTATTATTTAAGAAGATTTTATTCCCAAAATTCGACAGCTTAGCAAACTGAGAAAACCCCAAAAAGATTAAGATGATTAAAATCCAGACAAGAAGATGACAAGAAGCTCCCACTGTAATCCCTCTTCTCTGTCAAATCCGCCTTATCATGATATTCCTCTTATGTTGCTTTTAGCCCCATCATAAATATATGACAATCTCCATCTATTATTTGAGGTGATTTTATGCAGATATGATTATAGTAAGCTTTCCTAGTCTCTGAAATGTTTTGGATTGTTATCCTGTGGGACATTTTCCATCTCCAGTTTCAGTCATGCAGTTTATACTTCACTGAAGTGAGAGGTGTTTCTCTGCTCCACCAGATCTGCTGTTCTTTACAGAAAGTAAGAGTTTGAATCCTTAACAAACAAATGTCTGCCTTGCTTTTGGTGGAGTTAGAAAATGTGATGTCTGGTATTAAATATCTGAACAAAAGCAGGGCCGTAGAAATCATGTTTTTCCTCTCAGACTCACAGACAGTTATTATGCAATTTTTCTTAAAAATCTTTATTATATTTTTCCCAATCTTTCAGATGCTCATTTTCCCGGTTATGAGAAATTCAACAGTCCTCTCCAAGCAGACAGAGCATCACCCAGTTTCTGTTTGTCTGCTGTGGTTTTCTTAGTGCAAATGAGGACACGGCGCTGCCTCCATCATCTCTGTGACATGCTGTTTTCCATGGGGTGACATTGGAAACCTTATACTGTCAAAAATTAACAACAATAACTTCTGTTATTTAGCTTAAGAGAAAAAATTGGGGGTTAATTTTTCAAAGTCATATTTTCACCATGATGTTCATTAATTTATTAAAGTCACTACTTTAACTATTCAGTTAGCATGCTAAATATTTAGTTAGCAAACAAAAATATTTAGCATCAAACTAAATGTCTAGTGAAAATAACTTTTTTTTTGATTCTGCTGAAGGTCTCACTCTGAAGGAAACATCAGACCTTTTAAAGAATATTTTAAGTTTAAACAGGTTTTTATGTCTCTGGACTTTCTTTGGCTTAGTTTGAACTGATACTGAAAATGACTAATGTCGAGTCTTTTTTACTCTGCGACAAAGAGTGTCGTTGTCAAGGCGACCTTAGTATAATCTGGACTGGGGTTTTCAGTTTTTAATTTAGCTAAAAGTCCACACTGGTTACCAGTCGACTCCTCTGCATATCTTTAATTTAAATATTTAGTTGCCGTTGTTGTGCGACACGTTAAGACGCTTACTTAAACGAGCTTAAAGCCGTCCTGTATGTGCTCCACTGTGTGTGTGTTCCCACCAGGCCCTCCGTTTATTATCTCACCACCAGAGAACATAACAGTGAACATCTCGCAGGATGCCTTCTTCACCTGCCAGGCGGAGGCCTATCCTCGCAACTTGACGTACACCTGGTTCTGGGAGGAGGACAACGTCTTCTTCAAGAAGTAAAGTTATGATCATGTTTGTTATCGTTTGCTGATTAACAAGTCTCTTTTGCACCCGTACTCTACAGTTACTGCAGATGACTGTATATGCATGCCTTAATTGTACAATCCCATGCAAAGCTTTTTTTTCTATCTTCCAGCTAATTCGCTGCGAGTCAGAGAGGTGCAGCACCGTTACAACACTTAGACACGTGGACCAAAAAGCCCACAGTGGCTCCTAAAATAACTTGAAACTGTCAAAAGTAAGAATAAATTCACAAAACCCCTAGAAAGTAAAACAAAAATGAATCCCAGCCAGTGATTTTCAGTTGCTTGAGATGTCCGTCTATGACGTTAACGACTCTCTCCCCCCAGTTTACGGCTCACACACGTGGTGGTTTAGTATATTCCGATGGTGGTTAAAGCTCTCAGAGTGAAATACTGCGTACAGTGAAATCTTTGGTGCCGGGATCAATAAATGTATCTGCTGTTTGCTGGAATTATGTTTTTGCTGTAGGGTAGAAACTTAATAAGTTGAGGGAATATGAGTTGCTGTGATTTTCGGTCACATTTGAAGCCAGTTGATGTGTCGAGTTCCCAACATCCAGCCGCTCCGCTTTGATTTTTTAAACCGAGCTCCGTGACAAGCGTCTTTTATGACCGAGTCCGAACGCCAAAATGAACCAAAAGTGACAAAACTGGATAAATGTGTTATCGTTTTTACAACGGTCTCACTTTATACACAAATGACAAGAGAATGAATGTATGTGCTAATATATTTTCTTCAGTAAATGACACAAAAAATGTCTTAAAGGTTATGAAACATACTGCCAGGCGGGAGCTTCAGTCTAGAGGACGGTTGCCTCTAAATGTTGCTCTCTTTGTAAAATATTACTTGAGTAGAAGTGGTTCATTAGCATGCCACTTCCAGGCAGCTGGTGGTTAAATTCAACAGACTTGCTGTGACTTACTGAATTTAGATCCCAGTGCCTCTCTTCATATCCACAGTGACCTCAAGCGGAGAGTCAGTATTCTCATTGATGGCTCCCTCATCATTGTGCAAGTCAAGCCGGAGGACACTGGGAAATACACCTGTTCTCCCAGCAACAGCCTAGGCACACCGCCGTCTGCCTCTGCCTACCTAGCAGTGCAATGTAAGTCGACATTTAACAATTTTATCCTCCGTTTTGTTTTCAGGATGAAGATTTTACTGCAGATCTTCTTCATAGTTGTGCTTCTGAAATGTTATTTAGCACTTCTAATGGATTCCTCTGATTGTTTGCTAAATTGGCCTCATGCGCATTATAACTGTGTCCCACTGAAAATGCATTGGCTTCCAACGTGTTTAAGTGGGTTTTCACATCTGATATGCAGACTTGGTTTGATTGGGGACCAAGCTTGCGATATTTGCTACATTTTCAGCTGGTGCGTCTCGCTCTCACACTGCACCGTGTCAAACTAGCCTTTGAAAAATCTGTTCACCCCTTTGCCTGCGATGGCCACTGAGAGAAGTAGTTTCAGCAGAAACCTCTGAAGGAGACACTTAGTGCAACTTCCTTCTTCACAAAAACGGAGTGGCGTCAGATTTTAGAGATTCTAGGATTTCTCGCTTTTTCTTTGCTAAAAGACCACGAGCCACTCTTCCCGCTAGCGCCAGACACAGGCGTTTGTTTTGGTTGCACGTACCCAGAATGCCCTGCGCTGTTGTCTGCCTTCTGCTTTAGGAGCGGTCTCCGGTCTGCTTGCCGTTCACACGTGCATTCGACCCACTCCAGAGCTCTCTTCAAGCTCTGGAGAGGTCTAAAAACCAAAGGCCTTGGTTTTTAGATCGACCAGAGTTTGCTTTTTTGTGGTCCAAATTGAAGTTTGAATACACATTCGCCTCCCCAAGCGAACAAGACTTTCTAGGCAAATGAGCTAGAATTGGATCAAAAGGAGGTTTCTTAAAGTTACTGACTTACAGTGAATTTCCTGGTTTATGTGTGTGTGGTTGTTTTGTCAGAGAATGAGAGACACCAACCGCTAGAGTGAAACAAACCTTGCAACTTTCGGGGAGGTTGCTGATTATTTTTTCGCAGCCGAAGCAGCGGTGCTGCGATCCGACCGGATAGAGTTTGAATATCAGGTTGCGAATCTTGGCTCCAGTTTCTTGGTTGTTTTTTAAACACAGCAAATGTTTCTGCTGCTTTTGTCAAACACATGTATACCGACAGCAGTAATTAGCTCGACAGACACCCGAGTTTGTTCCTTTTTCTCCGCTGATTGATTCTTTGCAATTGGGTGGCAGGCAGGTCATTCAATCTATTGAGTTGGGTGGGCCTGGATTTTAGATATAAAACCTGCATAAATGGATGGATTCTAGCAGACAGTTGTAATGTTTAGACTCTGGATGAGGAGAATCACCTCCACTTCCCATCACCTGAATATTCATAAAGATAAGATGACAGAGTATTCCTCCATGTGTGTTTGGTTTAAACTAGACCCTGCTGTAGATCACTCCCAACAAACTGTTTCCTTCAGGTGTAAGACGAGTTTCTGGACCATTGAACCACTTGGTTCTCTCTAGCAGGCTGACACTCGCTTCCTTCTCCCAGTCAAACACCTGTTTTCTCTCATAAACACTTTTCCATTTTTTTTTTGCTCTCCTCCCTCTCTCCTCTGCCTCTCATTCCAATAGATCATTTCTATATTTCTTATTTGTACTCGTTTATGTACATTTGTATGCTCACTGGCATGTTACCGCTCCCTCTCTCTGGATTGCTGCCTCCTCATTTCTGAGCTGGAGCGCTCCAGCGGTTCAGCAGTCACTCGGCAGTCGCCTCCAGCCTGTGTAAATCTGTCGCCTGTAGAAAAAGCTCGTGTCGGGTGTTCAGAGCAGACGGGGAGAGGCAGGAGGGAGACCCGGGTCCTCGTCGATAGGTGGTCGCCGTGACGCTAGTTAAAGCGGCAGATCTTTATCATTTCTCCTGTGCCCCCCATCTCCATGGATGGCTGTGTATGTCTGTGTTTCTGTGTGTGTGTGTGTGTGTGTGTGTGTGGGTGTGTGTGAACAGAGGTAGGCAACACCAGTCAGGAGAGGGAGGGGAGGAGTGAGGAGAAAGGGGGGATTACATCATTGCTGTAAGACTGGTGACTTTTCTCATCAGACTGCAGGGGGCTCTCTGATTCGTTCTGTCCTATTATTTCCTCTGATGTTCTTCTTTTCACTTTGCTCCCCTTCTGTCAGCCGTCAACGTTCTCCCTTCTCCTTCCTTTTCTCTTCCTGTCTTTTTCCTTGAAGGGCTGTGCCGGCGACTAACTTCCCCTCAGCGTCAGTGGGAACCGAGCGCGTCGTGAGCGATAGCGCTCTCTGAGTGCTATATTTAGAAACCCGGCTGATATTCTTGTCTGCGGTGCCGGTGGCGGCGGCGCTTCCTCTGGGCTCAGGACAGACGTGCTTGTAGATCCCGAGTTGTCCAAGCCGTCCAGCATTCCCGCCTCGCTCAGTCGCTTGCCCTGCTGCTCATTTTCTCTCCCTCGCGGGGCTTTTGTTCCCCCTGCTCCTCGGTGACAGCATCCCATCTCCAGCTCTCCTCCAGCGGCTCCGCTCTGCCTTACGTCATACAGTCACTTCTGTCTCTCACCTGTCCTGTTTCCCACGCTCAGCCTCACTTCTCCTCCCTCTATTGCTCTGCTGATAGTTCTCCCCTCCTCCACTCAGTCACCTCATCTTTCATGCTTATCACCCAGTGCATAATGGGAAGCTCTCCTCCCTGACCTTAGTAGGGCACCACAATGTGTTCTGCCCTATCCTCCAATTTCTGGATCAACTGAAACTTTTCCCTTTTTTGTCTATTCTTATTTAGAGAATAATGACCTCTTTATCCCCTCCCCTTGTCTGATTTTAAAAGGGTTTGATGACTGAATCAAACACCAGTTGAAAGAAGGTTTTTATGATGCAGAGGGGAAAGTAGAAGGTTTATTCACATGCCTTGCAGTGAAGGATAATTAGCATAATACATCTTTGTTCCAGTAAGTGCTGGGCTGTGTGTAGATGGCAAAAGAGGCTTTAAACCTCACCGTTAGAAAACTGCTGCTGCAAAAAGTGAAATCTTGGCATCGCCGAGTCATAGTATCAACCATTAGACGCAGTATGGGAGTGAAACCAGAAAATAAATCTTTTCTCGTCTGCATATGGGCTTCACAGTGGAGCAGTTTGCAGCAGTGTAGCTTTGCAGGACGCTCTTAGGTGTGAGTGTGTGTGTGTGTGTGTGTGTGTGTGTGTGTGTGCGTGCGTGCGTGCATGTGTGTGTTGTTGTTTGGCATGTGTCTCTGTTTTGACCTGTCCTGAGTGTGTCCCACCTCTAGCCCAGTGACTGCTGGAGGTGGCGTTGATAGGCGGATTGATGGATGTTCTGCATACCAAACACAAACATCTTTATGCTTTGGCTTAATTTTGCAGAGACTTTAACTGCGAATGTTTGATTTGACCAGATGAGACCAAAACTAAGTTCACACAGCAGGCAAATGTGACCCAGATCTGCCCATATGCGACCCATATTTGACTTTTATGGCTGTCTGAATGGATCAATTGGATAAAAAAAATAAATAAATAAAAAATCTGCTGTGTGCCACTTCCACATATGGTACTAAATCAGATACATGGTCATTTTGCATTTAATCCTACTTTTACGTCATTGTATCGAGGCGTGTGTCATAATCCTGCACCAGAAGAAGCCAGATACTATAAATCCACAAGTAAATGATGGCTGAAAATTATAAATATGATCCTAAGTGCATTACATCACAATGCCACCTCACTTGGTCTGAGTACACATCCAAACAGACTCCTGGATGCAGTCAGTGCATCTTCTGCGTCGACTGAGAAACGCACCGAATCCTTCTGCACATCCACATGGTAAGGCTGTCAAAGTCAAGCTAGCATAACTGACCTACTTCCGTCTCCCTCTCTGTTTTCCTATATTCAAACTTTTTACTGACCGTTCACATGTGATACCCCTGGACCTTGTTAACTAGCTGTCATAATGTTGACAATCAATAGCAAAACACCACGCCCCTTTTGCTCCCAAGATTTAGCGCGTTATGTTGACAGCTTGACAGCTAAAACCAATGATGGTTATCATCGGCGAGCCCTTATTTTGTCGCCCAGCAGGGAGCTGGGGGGGCGGGATCTAGTGTGTGTGACGCCACATTTCAACTTCTCTATATCCTGTCTCAAATACTTTATTGCAAGCCGTGAAACCGTAGCTGTGCGTACATTAGAATAGAAGCCTGTAAACATAGAGTTAGGGAGAAGTTGTGTACTTCAGCTACGATGCTCTCTGCTCTTAATGACAGCACGCTAAATGTACTGTTTTCACTGTGTGTGCCACAGCAGTTGTTGGGAGATTTTTAAGGCTTTTAATTTGGGATAAAACTGATGAATTACTCTTGAATTACTCCACATGTCACACAATATTAGCGACATACACAAATGCTGTTCTGAGATCAGCCGTGCTCCGCAGAAGGTAAATAAATTTGTCACTGTGCGGTGAGCCTGCTGTCTGAAGCCGAGAGATTTCCCAAGGCTCCTCACACATCTGCTGCGATAGCCAGACATTCGGTTCCCCTCACTACAACGGGTGATTTTTATCAGTCGCCTTTTCTCTTTCTGTAATCACCAGATCCTGCCCGTGTGGTAAACATGCCATCTGTCATTTATGTGGCCATTGGTCTCCCAGGCTTCATCCGCTGCCCAGTAGATGCCAACCCTCCTCTGACTCTGGTTAAGTGGAAAAAAGACGGCCTCCCTCTACGGATAGACAAGGTGATTCAGTTCGTTTGAGGAAGTCTGTTCCTTTGTTTTTTTTATAAGCTTCTGGATAGTTTAGTAAAAAAATGTGCATATTCAGGATTTGTTGAGCAGTGGATAAACTATTACGATTGTTTATCACAGTACCCTGGTTGGAGCCAGATGGATGATGGGAGCATCCGTGTTGCAGAGGTGACAGAGGATTCTCTTGGCACCTACACCTGCATGCCTTACAATACCCTGGGATCCATGGGATGGTCTCCTCCTGCTCCCCTGGTGCTAAAGGTAAACACGCCTCGGCTGCACAGCGGCCGACCTGGACTTCACATAAACCGTTTAGCCTTTTCTCACAGTGACTACCCACCTACAGTAGTAGTTTAGTAGTACTTTTACTTTACCTCTGCCTAGAACTAACACTCTGAAGAAAACAGAGAAATTGCACGCTGTAACATTCTGCCTTCTGCAATTACATTAACTGCTGTAAATTGTGAAAAGAATTGATGGAACGGGTGAACACGTATTCGAAGTGAAGATTATTACCGTTTGTTTTTAATAGCGATGCACCGATCCACTTTTTTCACTTCCGATACCAACGCAGATATGTAATGGGAATCCTTAAATAAACCCGAGGCACACTCGGCGTTTCACTTACACATTACGGCCGTCTCGCCAATCTACAGGACCCTCCAAAATTCTCTGTGGTTCCTGGAGGGGAGTACAGGCAGGAGGCTGGAAGGGAACTTGTCATCCCATGTGAAGCAGAGGGAGATCCTTTTCCGAATATCACATGGAGGAAGGTACCACCCTCACACCTGGTTGTAGTTCCAGTTTCTTATGCTGTGTCACAGTCGGTATTTTAGTGCTTCGGTGTTGTGATCTCCCCTCTGACCGGAACGACTAACAACACTGTCCTTCTGTCTTCGGTGTTTGAGTCTTTGGATTGCGTGTGCCTCTTGTTCATTGTGTCTGCTTATTATTTCCTTGGGCGGGGCGGACTGCAGGTAGGGAAGCCCAGTAAAAGCAAGCACAATGTTCTGCCTCGGGGCAGCTTACAGCTGAAGTCGCTCACAAAGGATGACCACGGGGAGTGGGAGTGTGTCGCCACCAACGTTGCCACAAGCATCACTGCCAGCACGCATGTCCAAGTCATAGGTACGTAAAAACTAACTGAATCACCTGTACAACCACTTCCAGCAAGAATAAGTTGCAGTAGTTGTTTTCTGCATGGCTTCATTGGTCGTTGCTGTTTTGCAAGCCTCGTCGAATTAATTGACAGCAACGGTTGCTTATCTCAGGTCACTAACCCTAACCCTTTCCTTCACGTTAACACATGCCTGTTTTAATTTCTGTACGCTTTTCTTGTGATTTTATAAAGTCAAACTTTGCTTTCACATAATTATACATTGGGTTCTTAACCTCCCTGGCTCACAGTTAATTTGTCTGGCAGGAAAACTGAACGACGTCTCCATAACAGCGACACTCGGCGACTAATGTGCCGCTTTATAAAACTTCCCCCCGTCTCCATAGGCACAAGCCCCCACGCCCCCACCAGCGTCCGCGTCGCCACCTCCTCCACCTGGGCCAACGTGTCCTGGGAGGCCAGCTATGACGGAGGCTTCCAGCAGACATACTCAGTCTGGTACGGCCATGTGTGAGTCATCCCAGCATGCTTTGCTTCCTGCTTTTTCTTCCTTCATCGTGCCCTTCTTTTGTTGCTGGATACGTCTTTTCTAGGGTTACGTTCAGAGCAGTTGTAAAACCGCAGAAATGGGGAAAGTACAAGGAAATCAATGAATAAGATAATTGCAACCAAACTGAACATGACCCAACTCTATCCTGCTGCTGCCGCTGCATCGCTCTGCTTGACTGGGCCTCAGCTGAAATGCTTGTTGTAGCTTAATACATGAAAACATTGTGTGATATGATAAGAATCTGAGCAAGTCGTTACAGTCTACAAGTTGATTGATAAGTTGAAATATATTTTATTAAAAGAAAAAAAAAAAGAATTGAATTTTGACATAATCCTCTTTTCATAAACTCTCATTGTTTGTGAACTTGAATAGATTTAAACCGAGTAAAAAAAAAAATGTTTACAAGCGAAGTCCTAAACTCCCTGCTGCTTTGTGTTAATTATGACACTTGACAGCTCACAAGTAATCCACAAAACCCCTACAAACAAAACTTAAAACATAGTTTTTATTGGTCAGTGACATCAGTCTGAGATGCCATGTCTTCAACACAACGATGAACAGAAGATGATTTAATTGATCATTTAGTTACCGTGGAGACTGAGCCTTCATGACATCACACCTGACCAAATATTTTACTTGGTAATCAGGATAGTAAACACTTTGCTAATTGTTGCCATTTCTTCTGTTGGACAGTGACTCAGAGTAACTTTGGTGTCTGGAATCTGAATCTGTTTACTGCCAAATTATGTCAATCAGTCCCTCCAGTTTTTTTAGGATTATCATGGAAATTCACGAAAAATTAATAAATCCCTGCACTTTTTTTTTTGCACTAATAATTTGGAGTTTATTGCAGATTTTTCTCAAAAGTTGTCAAAAACTTTTTTACTCATACAAAACAGCTGCCTCACCCTCAAATGATGTCAGATTATAGTCTATAATCTATACAGCGAGTAATAAAAAGTCACATTTACCATCATAAATAAGCACAAATCTTGCAAATGTTTCCAAAGTAGTAACACAAGCACTTTGATTTGTATTTATTTTTTATTTTTTTGCAAAAAAAATCACAAAAATAATCACAAAATCCTGGAGGGACTGAAAGGATGGTCAATAATATTACAATTTTTAAGAATTCATGAATATTTCAACAGTTTGTGATCAGGTTTTATCAATACATTCTGGCACAACCGGCCCTTTAAGAGCATTTATGATCTTGATTTGGCCCAAAACGAAAATGAGTTTGACACTCCATTGTAACACAGTATGTGTAGCTATAATTACGTGGTATTAAAAAATAATAATAATAAGAAGAAGTCCTAAGCGGTGATGGTAAGCTACAGTGCATGATAATCAAGTCTGAATTGTGTAAAAAGGGAATATATTTAAAGTACAAGGTGACAGAGGTGATGATTCCCGATTCAGATGTGCTATAAAAAAATCAGTCAAATCCTAATTTTATTCTGATCACTGCCTCCCATCATGTTTTATTAATAAAGTGAAGTAACCAGAGAGCAGAACGAATAGGAAAACAAGCAGACAGCGGCTTTAATTAAAGATATTCATACTGACAGCGAGCCTGTGTGATCAGCACTCAGATGGCCCGTGTCGCTGCAGCCCTGCTGTCATTTAGAAGAGCCTTCAAAACGCCACGGATTGGATTCCTGCACAGCTGACTTTGTCACACCGCTTAATAAAAGATGTGCAGTGGCTCGGGAAAACTATTCACGCCCCTTGAACGTTTCGTTTTTTGTTGCATCAAAAAATACGTAACCCATAAATGGTGTTCAAGGGAGTGAATGTTGATACAATGGCTTATTTTATGTTAGATATTTTTGTTTAGCTGTGAGTATTTTGTTCAAATCAGTTTTCAATTTGATACTAAAGTTTTGTTTTTTTTTGTCAAAAAGGTCAAATTGTGTTGATCACTATTGATTTGTAAAAGCAATAAAAAGAGTCAAACCTCCAACCTGCTTTTTCACAGGCACTTTAAATGCATCTGCATATATTTTGTTGGGAACTTATGCATCAGATCAACACAAAACAGTGTGTAATTGTAAACGTCAAGTGGAAGGACACATGGTTTTGAAAAAGTTTCCCAGAGTGAACGCTTTGTGGCATGTATATGTACCATATCTGCACATCTTTCATTACTCATCAAGCTCTGTCAGCCTGAGCAGAGTGAGACCTCAATTACTGTGTCTTTCCAAAGACTTAGTTCTGGACTTTGACTGGGACATTCCAATTCCAAAAAGATAAAAGATCATGAGGTATGAATACTTCTTCAAAGTACCCCATTAAATGCACTGTAGAAATGTAAACATTACCACATTTATAACCTTTTAAAACTGCACTCCAAGCGGTTTGCATATTTTTGGCTCCTGTGATTGTGTAAATTTATACAACCCTGTATTTCTTTACAGTAAATAATTGCTTTTGAAACAGTTGCAAAGTTATTGCATGTGTGTAGTTGTGTGCTTCAGTTGTTGATGGAGATCATTCAGTGTGAGTGTACAGCATGGCCAAATGGCAAAATGCAAAGCTAAACGGAGCATGATGCTGATACTATTAACTGGCTGCCATGTTCTGAATAAAGAATAAATGTATTAAAATGTGAATGTTTTAGTGAATCGCTGCAGAAAGAAGGAATCTGCCAATGTAATTGACAGACTTACTGCCTGGGCAACTGTTAGCTGAAGCCCAGCAGTCTGCAATTTGGAACTGAAGCACAAACTTAGCATAAACAAGCAGTGGCCTTGCTGCTTATTGTGTCAAACTGGTCGTGCTGTATTGAATTAAGGAGGCAGACATGGTGTGTTTGTAAGTCATTAAACTGCTTGGTTCCTAGAGATGAGCAGGCATCGCCACAAGGGGGCGCCTATTCCCCTTTTCCTTTGTTGTACTATTGTACAGAGTAAGAACTCGTTTTCCACGTTGTTGTACAGAGGAGAGACATCCGTGCAGAGCGGTGAACTGTCATTACTGTTCCCATGTTTGAGACTACAATGTTTAGTACCGTGGAGACCTGGCTTTACGTGGACGAAGTGAAATAAAGTGAAAGTGTGGAATACTCCCAACAGTGCGTCCTGCTGTTTAGGGTTAGCATGGCTAACCACCGCTGCTAACTCCTCCTCCAGCCTCTCACCGCACCGTCACGTTACACACGGCTTACCATGGAGGATAACATCACACCCAACCTAACCATGTTCCACATGCAAGCTAAACACTTGTCAAGTTCGCTATTTTACAGTCATTATCTTCATTTGCAGCACACCAAGAGGGTAACGTACTATATTACCCAAAATATGAAGTCGTTGCCAGTTTCTAAAGGCATCAATAAGTGTTGGAGACATGAAGAAGACAGTTCCGTTATTTTCCTGTCCTTTTCCCCCCATGCCATGTCTTCCTGTTTGTCCATTCACATTTCACTTCTGCTCAGGCTGAAGAGGGAGCGTTTAGGTCCACACGACTGGGTTTCCATACCAGTACCTGGAGGCCAGGACTGGATGGCGGTGCCGGGCTTGGAGCCAGAGACAACGTACCAGTTTAGTGTCCTGGCCCAAAATAAGCTTGGCACAGGCCCCTTCAGCGAGGTCGTCACTGTGAACACTCTAGGTGAGTACAGCAGCCACTCGCTGGGAAGAAATCCTAAATTAATGTGACTTTAGAGGCTGGGTGAATACAAAAGCAAGTAAACCACCTATGTTTAGTTTAATTGACATGTCAAGTCACAGTACACTTCTGTGTTCATGAATATTAACAGGTAATTTTTTATTTTTATTTTACTTGATAGATGAGTGAGTGCTGCTTGTGTAGGGTTGCTCAGAACGCATTTCTGTCTGCGAAAGGCACTTTATACATAAATTTGTTTACGTAGTGGTTGTGTGTGGCAGTAATATTATACAGCAACATTGTCTTTAGTCAGAGGTCTTCAGATGTGTTGCAAGCCTGACTGCTACTGGAGATCCTTCCTGCCCACAGGATTTCCATCCACCATGACTGTGTGAAGACACCTGGATGATAGGAGTTATGACAACATTTAATTTTCCCTTTGAAACTAAATATTTTTAAATTGAATTAAATTTGAAATGAATGCGAGAACAGGTATTTTGGATCACATTTGGCCCTTGAGTTTAGACGCAAGTTTATAAACTCAGCACTTCATAGGAAAGCATCTTGTTCCCAATCAAAGGACTTTTTTAAATATATAAATATTGATTCAGGATTTCTATCGCTTAACTCTAGTCATAATTACAAACGGCTTTTTTAACATCTTGAAAGTGATTGTTGTTGTTCTTTAGTAAACGTGTCCTCTTCTTTAACCAGCAGTTATCAGACTAACTGCTGGTTAAACAAGCAGTTAGTCTGATAGTTATGGGTTTAGTTTGGTTATTCCAGCTTTGAGGCGAGGGTTGTTAGCGTTGCTCAATCTAAGTGCAAATGAAGCTGTCACAGATTATTATGCAAAGATAAGTGACATGCTGAAAATGGAGATAACTAACCGTGCTGCGCCACTCTATGTGTGAGCCAAGGAGGAGAAACCCAGAGGTCAAAGCTTTCTGCTGCTGGGTTGCTCCTTCTCTCTCTCTCTCACTTAAAAGCATTTCATCCAACACCTCAAAAAAAAAAAAGAAATCAACAGATTTCATATTTCTTGGTTCTACTCGAGAAGGAACCAGTGGAACTGGTAGATATGCTGACAATCAGTATTTTTTTTTGGCCTCTAGACAATTTTTATTGCAGGATTTTGTGATTCTAAACACTCGGTTTTGTTAAAATGCAATATAGCCATTTTTACCGTGCAAGCATTTTGTCGTGAAATGTCGAGAATTATAAGAAAACAGAAGCTTTCCTCAGGAAAAATCTTCAGTCTCAAACCATGTGACCAGATCTCTGATCCTGATATGCTCTTTCAGTATTTCCTACAAGTACCCCTGAACCATTGGTGCTGCTTACCCCACCACGGTGCCTCACAGCCAATCGCACGCAGCAGGGAGTCCTGCTCACCTGGATCCCACCTGCCAATCACACAGCACCTATCCAGCATTATGTAATGGAGTTCCGTCTGGGGGAACGATGGGAGATCTTGGATGACAGCATTCCTGCAGGAGAGCTGGAGCTGCTCGCCCGAGACCTTATCCAGGTAGAACGCATCCCAAATCCTGACTGGTGGTGGCACGTCGTTGTCTTTTCAGTGCTTAGAGGCGATCGGGGTTTTGTTTCTTTGCCTTCCTTTTGAGAAGTGACCAGATTTCCTCAATGAGATTAAGATCCGACGACTTTTCCTGCTCACAGATCTTTGTGTTGCCTTTTTATAGTTTTTGCCTTGTACAATGTTGCTCAATCGGGCTAAAAAACGTAGATCTTTGTTGTTGTTGTTTTTGGGCTAAATTGTAAGGAAGCCCAGTTCTGTTGTGTGAGAAGTATCAGCTTCTTAAAGAGACAGAGGCCCAATTTCAAGGCTTTAATTTGCGAAGTCAGATATCTTTTAAGTCAGGTTTGATGTATGCCACATTTTTATAACAACTTAATTTGAAATGGTTACTTGATTGTGCTATAAAACACACCTTGAGTGATTCCTCAGAGAAAATAACTTTGTATCCGTCTTCTAATGTCGATCCTTTTCCTTCCTAAAGAATTTCAGTCTGTCTTTGACGATTTGTTCCTTCAGTAAAGGGCGTTTTTGTTGCCCTTCTTGTCAAAAAGACAGTGATCTAAATGCATTCATCTCTCTGTCTGTGCAGAAGCGCTCACGACTACTCGCTCCTGATGTTAAGCAAAATCTAAAACACACTCTGTGAGTAGAGATCCTGGTGCTCCGCTCACACTTTTGGATCGTGATCACTGCAGCTGAGCTTCTCACCCTAAAGCTCTTGGTGATCCAGAAAACTGTGCTTTGAGCTGTGATATTTTTAGCAGCAGTTAGCTTAAAAGTCAGTACCTTACGACACAAAGAAACCGTGTCTGCGTGACGAGACTTTTAAGCACATCTGTCCCTCTGGTATAGCAATCAGTCTGCTAATTAGTCTGAGAAATTGATTGGAGCCAATCATTTTGTGCAAAATTCGGTGTCGTATAGTAAACTTTTTAAAGCTAATAAAGGTTTTTCATTATTAACTGATAAATATTTGTGAACTTTCTGAAGTAGCGCAGCGTGTTTTGTGGGGGGCCCGTACGACGATCACTAATTAGCCTCACATGTCGGCTCGCCACAAATAAAACAGCTTCATTAACACCACCGTCTTCCGTGAAATAATATGCTGTCACATTCGGCACGGTTGTCATAGTAACAGGGCAGGTGTGCACAAGCTGATTAGGCTGACTCTGTGGTCTTCTGCGCTACGGTTTAGTTCTGGATCGGTGTAAAACGTGCGGGGTAACTGTAGATTTTATCTCAGTAAGACATAACTCTAAAACATGAAACTAATAGATGCATTTTAACAGAACGCTAAAGTAGAAAAAAAAAGGCAATGGGAGGAAAAACCGTCGTCGAAAAACGGTCGTTTTCTTGCAGCCCGGCACCGCTGCAGCGTGTTTGAGCATCTTTCTTTAATCTAACTGCCACTTTCTGGTCCACAAAAGTGCTTTTATTTCTCCTTGCTCTTCCCGCAAACACCCACACACACACTTCATCTCCCTCGTTGCCTCACTCAAACACACACACACGTTACACCTGGGTTGTGTAACTTTGCTGCTGCGGATTTCTTCCTTTGTGGTTAAAGCGCTTAAGCCACGAGGTTTCGTTGGGTCTGCTGTTCTCCGTATTTGCGTATGTGCGAAAGTGAATGTTTGCGCCGATCATGTTGCTCAGTCTGTTCGTCCCGGTCATCGCTGCCGACGGCTCAGTGTGAAGCCAGCTGCACCGCAAAGTGTCTTGAAGCAAGTAGTAAACAGGACGACCCGAGATCATCGAGTCGAAAAAGATTAAATACGCTCTGCACTTCCACGTCTGTTATTTAGACGTGTGGTTCATCTTCTCCTTTAATTTCAGCCTGTTTTCTCCTCCTGCGTGTCATTAGCACCGCTTCATTTCCAGGCACTTTACGTGGGAATGACGTGACGCCTTAGAAAGAAGAAACTTTGGTGCAAACTTCAGACTCTGACAAAAAGACTGAAGCTGCCAGAAGAAATGCACTGATTGGGGTGTGCTGTGGTGGCGCAGGGGTTGAGCACAACCCAGGAACCCTCGGGGCAGTGGTCGCAGGTTTGATTCCCGGCCTGGCGACCTTTGCCGTGAGTCTTCCCCTTCTCTCAGTACCCACCTTCCTGTCAATTAACTATCAAGTAAAGCCCACTAGAGCCAATAAAACCTTTTCAAATAAATACACTGATGGATGTGACTTTGTGCACAAGCAGACCAGTGATGGCTGCGCTTAAAAAAACAAACAAAAACAAGCTGGAACATCATCAAAGGCCCTCTATGGGATTTCCATTGTGGCACCACTATTGTAGTGTTATTATGCTGTTGCTGGGGTGTCGGGCAGCCAATCAGAACAGTGAGTGAAGGTCAGCAGATATGCATTGGGCCGCATTACCAGCACATGATGGAGTCTGCTGATGGTCATATTATGGATTTGCGTGACTGCCATTTCTGGATGCCTGGCGCTGTGATATCTATATGCAACACATGCTGGGAAACTGAATAGGACGGCGACCGATGAAAACCCAAACCCGCCCCACATCGGCCTCCGCCAAGTCCCGGCGTTTCTGCGTGACGCAAATAGGAGACTTTTTTTTTTTCTTCCTCCTGACCTTCACTCGCGGCTTTAGCCGGCACAGTCCAGCAACATATATATGTAACATTACTGAGTGCATGTAATTAATTAATTATTTGAATCTTAATTGAATATTGCATATGTCTGTTCTGGACTATTCATTCACTTACCTACAGCTAGTGTGATTGTGGACCAAAGGTACGTCGTTATTTAGTCGTAGGCGAAAACAAGGAGGTGATCAACTCTTGGAGGTCACAACCTGAATGCCCCCCGTCCCTCTTCCTGCCTCATCTCATATGCGATAAAGACAGCAGATGGCTTTAGGTACCTCAGAGGATATTGAGGGGAGCTAAGAAGCTCATTGGATTGTCCCTAAACCCTCCCCGGATCTCCTTCAGGAATGGGGCTCTGAGCATGACTGTGTGTGCCTGGTTGTTTTTCCCTGCTTGTCTCTGTGTTGCCCTGTGATGAACCTGCTCAGGGTGGACCTTGATTCTCACCCAGTGACCACTGCAGACAGACCCCACGACTCGACTACGCTGGTGTAGACGATGGATGGGCCGATGCCTCTGAACATTTCCCTCCCTACCTATGAACTTATTGAAATATTTCCCTCAGACTTTCTGCCTCAAAGGCTGAACTGCTGTTAAATTGGTGTTTATATTATCACTTAGTTTATCTGTCCAATCTTTTTGTCAGTATTTATTTTCTACTTATCTACCAAGTGAGTTTTCATACTCATGCTATACATTCTCGATAGCTTATCTAATTCTGTTTTATGCTGTTTATTATGCTCTGAAGTGACAAATAGATCATTTTGCCTATTAGTACCTGGATGATAAATGGACTGTTAGTTTTTGTGATGGGGCATAACGTCATTGTCTTTTGCAGAGTGAGCTTCCTCAGAGTCTTATCAGGTGGCTGGTATAGTGAGAAAAAAAAAAAAGAAGTATTTTTAGCTCTGTTGCTGTTTGAAGCCTTTAGGCTGATCTGTGCTGCTTATTTTAACATCCTGACGGCTCCTCTGTTCTGCTCCTCCCAGGAGGCCTGGTACGAGTTTCGCATCATGGCCGTCATGGACGACATGGTCAGCGAGCCCAGTAACGTGGTGGGAGTGTCCAGCACAGGTACGTTCTCACAAGATGCAACATGCGAGAGGGAACTTTCTGTGGTTATTTCTGTGTTCTCCAAGGCAACAGGAGACTCGAAGGATTCTGTGTCACAATGCATCAGAAAGTGCAGCGCGGCTCGGTGGCTTTCGTTCAGCTCACCCCCGCCGCGCCTGTAACGTCGGCGCAGCATCAAGGCCATCCTTGCGTCGCTGAGATAGAGATCGGTCCCACTTATGCATTGCACACACAACACCTTCAACTTAACATTTTGCTCCGTCAGCGCTATGTAATTAAGACTCCATTTACATGCCTGCCCTTTCGTGGCATTCTGATAAGTATGACATCATCCGTTTACCCAGCATCCACTGACTCTTTGGCTTTTCTTTGTGCTCAAAAGAGAAACAATTAAGAAATCGGCCTGTTTTTAGCTGCACTGCTGATATCTGTTTGCGTTCTGAAATCAAGCCTCAGAACGTGATGTGGCACCCCTGCAGAGGTCACTGAGTACACATTGTTTGGTAAAACAGCTGTTGGCAGCTAATACAGAGACTGCTGTTGCTTTCATATTAGGCCTCTGCCGCCCTCTACTGGTTATAGCTGGGGACCTTCGAAGTAGTCGTGACCAGAACCTACTAAACATTCAACAATTTGTCCCTCCCGCCTTATATTCAGTAGTGATCTGCCGTGGTTCTGTCGATTCAACACGTTACGACATCCAGCTAAACCAGAGATCAAAGCAGCGTAAACACAGCACAGAACTATTCGCAGTGTTTGGAACGAGGGATCTGGAGAAGTGATTAATTCTTATTGTGAGCTTCTAATGGCTTAGGCCTGCAGGCATAATGAGGAAATCCACAGAGAGGGAGGCGTCTGCACCGCCCTGATTGGATGATCATTTTCCTAGCCTTCTCATCCACCTGTTTCTTCCCAAGAGTGCCCAGATTTCTCTGCTGAGCTTCAGTAATCTTGGATCACACATTCAATAAACTGACATCACTGACAAACACGTTAAACCAACAAAGGACAGGACAAAAGGTGTCCAATGAAATAAAGTAGCATCGCAGGCGTAAAACAAGTTGAGAGTCTTCAAGAATAATAAGAGTAATTGTGTTTTATACTGTGGATGGGAGGAAACGCAGTTTAACAGTAGAGAGACTTCATTTTCTTAAAATACAGTGGAATGTACTGAAAATAAGCTAAAATAGACTTAGACCTGACAGCGAACTTGGCAACAAAATGTTGTTGCTTGGCTACCGGAGTACACAGAAAGAAACAAAAACAATTACTGAAAATGTATAGGTGTCTATAAATGCACATATTTAAGTTTTACTAGTGAAGGTAAAACAAAAAATAAATGAAATCATTTGAAAAAAATATTCAACAAAACTCTTCAGAGCAGAGGTTGTTGCATTTCATTACATTGTTAAAGTTTCAATTGATTAAGTTTTAGATGAAGGAATATGCAGAAGGAACAGAATTAGGATGAAAGATACATTAATTTTGTGTATTCAGATTGGATATCATTCTTTGAAGAGTAACTAGAGTACTTATTAAAGTAATCATTGACTTTTGAAAATAAGTAATCGGTAAAGTAGACTGGATTACTGTCTAATTCAGTAACCTGACCAAACTGGTCATAAGAGGTGAGTTGGAAAAAAACCGACTATCATGACTTGTTTTCAATGTTGGTCAGAAGAAAGTGGAGAATAAAATGTTTTGCACCACTTGTAAATACGGCACCAAAACCTGGCACCAACTGTGAACTGATGGCTGACCATTTGGGCTTTTGTGGCAGAATATCATTTAACGCTGGTATTCTAGAGTTAAGTGGGAGGCCATTGTTGAAGCTTGTCCCAAACTGGATCATACATCAAAACAAGGATCCAGCAGATCGGCTGAAAAGGTAACGAAGTTAAAGGTTTAGAGGCATTTTTAGTCTTTTTTTTTTTTTTTTTCTTTTTAAAGTCTTTCAAAAAAAAAATGTGTGGCTTTTTTTTAACATCCCAAAAAGTAGCGCATTAATGTGGAGACAGGAAGTTCAAAACCACTTCAATAATCTTACCTGGCTGTTCAGAGCACTGGGTGTTCTCTCAGGGTACACCGTGTTCTCTTCCTCCGTTCTCACATTTGGACAGTAATCTGAAAGCAAATATCAGCAGTGAGAAAATGCTTCTGTACTGTAGTGCTCATTACGAGCAAAGTCACGACGCAAGGCTGATTTTTTTTTTTTTTTTTTTTTACAAAAGTTTCATTACTGTCCTGATAAAAAGCTCCTGCGTTGATCATCATGCTCCATTCTTACTACAGGCCACCACAACTTTGCCAACAACTTCTTTTTATCTCCACCATGCTAGGAGTTTGCTGTTGATGTTGAAGTTTTCTGGATTTGGGTTGTCGCCTCGCAGATTTCTTCCCCCCTCCAGAGATGGTGGAGGAGCGTGGACTGACGCGGCCTGTGGTGGCTGGCATCGTGGCCACCATCTGCTTCCTGGCTGCAGCTGTCCTCTTCAGTACGATGGCCGCCTGCTTTGTCAACAAGCAGCGCCGGAAGAAGCTCAAGAAGAAAAAAGGTCACGGAAGATTCTGTCTTCTTCCCACAATTTCTAAGTCAGAAAATCCCCCTAATATTATATCATTCTGCGCCTTTTTTTTTTTTCAGTCCATGTCGTCTTAGATGCATTTCTGCTTCGCTTATTAAACTTATGAAATAAATTGTCTTTAAAAAGTTGATTCACAGCTGGTAATGTGCAACAGATTCATTCATTCATTATAAGTGCTGATCTGTCAGATTAGAAGCTGTGTGTCCTCTGTTATATAAAGTAGCTCAGTGATGCCTGAAAGAGCGTTCAAGTCAGTAAAAGTACAGTATAGACTTTGTGGGAGGCTTTCACGTCATGCTGAAAAATTATCAGGTTTATCTTTTGGTTTTTTTGTTTGTTCTCCTCTTACGTCTACCCCGCCTGCAAGTAAACTTTAAAGATAGTAAAACTGTCTTGTATCTTCCTTCCACTCTCCAGATCCCCCTCTGTCCATAACCCACCTCAGAAAAAGCATGGAAACACCGTAAGTATTCCTCCCAGGACACTCCTACAAACACCTAAACGTTAATGAGGATTTCTGTGACATTTGTTGACGTTTTTGTATTAAGTACTGTCAACAGCCAGGTTTTACTCTGAACACATTGATTCCTATTAGTCAGCACTCTCATGGGCGCAAGAGTTGAGCTACTGAAAACACAGCTGCTTTCTAACAACGTTTTCTTCAACAGGAATAGATCTTTACTTTAAGTTCTACACATTTGTGTAAAGGTTATTTTGACCTATTTTAAACCAGGCACTTTTTGTCCCGTGTGGCAATAAATACAGAGACGAACACTCAAATTGTTTTTGGACGAATGTTTCCCTCAATCTGCAGCGATTTTATCCGCATCAGTAATGCAGTTTGAACGCTGTGACCAACAGCTGACTTGATGAGGCTCCCATCAAGCAGCAGAGGTAATAGATGTATAATTAATATCTAATTGTTCAGTAGTTTAACTGAAGCAGCTAATTGAAATATCCTAAATATAGGATTTCTTTTGTTAAAAACTGCAATGTTTTCATTCGGAGTTAGAATACACCTCAATAAAAAACATCCATCAAGTGACTCTTTAAAGGTGGAGTATGTAACTTTTATTAAAAAAAATGCTTTTTACATATTTGTTAAAACTGTTAAAATGTTGTGACAGAATAGTATGAGACAGATATTCTTTGAAAAACTCAGCCTCTTCCACTTCCTCCTAATGCTACTGTTATAATCTGCAGAAATGTTCTCCTCTCAGTCAAAAACAACCAATCAGAGCCAGAAGGAAGGTCTTAGAGCTATCAATCAACCTCATGCACATGCTGCTCTGAGCGCTGATGGCAGACGAACAACTTACCGTTTCAGGAAAACCTTTTATCCGCCACCATCAGTGGCTTAACTAGCTTGAGCATTCATGGAAGACTCGTATCAGGAAGAAGATGCAGCGCAGCAGAGAGCGAGGGGGAGAGTTTGCATACACGAGCCTGATTGAGAGCGGTCAGACCTCCTGGCTCTGATTGGTTGTGTCTGACTGAGTTACATACTTCTGCAATTTCCACTGGGAGCACTGAGAAAAGGGAGAGGATCTCGATCTTTTTTCACAGATCATCTGTCTCATGCTGCACTGTCAAAACAAAGTGACCATTTTAATACATATGTAAAAAAATAAATAAATAAATTAAAAAAAAAATATATATATACATATATATAGATATATATCTACATAGATATATATCTATATAGATATATATCTATATAGATATATATATATTTTTTTTAATAAAAGTTACATACTGCAGCTCTAAGGTCTTGAGTGTAATCTGTTTCTTTTCTTTTTTATTTTTTGATCCCCTAAATCTCACAGTATTGTATTATGATTGGATGGAAGTAAACTGGATTTCACTGTAAATAGATCTGACTGGGAGGACTGAATAGTATTAGGATGAATTTGACTGGACTTCATGAATAAAGTTCAGATTAAACACATAAAACTAAACAGGATCTGTTTACTAAGGGGGAAGGTAGGTGATGTTCTGACATCACGTTCTACCTGTCAGGTAACAAACATCATACCTGTACTTAATTGTCAATGTGCCACCAACATGAGCGAAGAGCAATGTCACTACAAGTTGTGCAACATTCAAAATAATCCAACACAGGACAATAAAACAACTCTGGACCTCCATTGTCTTTACTGTGCAGCTTTGTGTCCATCTGGCCTCTGGACAGCAGCTTGTGTCCATAAGGGTTTTCTTGTGAAAAATATTTGCCTCACAATGCAAACATTTTCCAAACCAAAATCGCCAACCCGGAACCTGGGCTGTTAAAATGTGCACATAAATGACACAGCATGACAGTCGGGACATTTTTTCCCCAAATAAATGTGTTTTCATTAAAGTTACTTGTGAAGTTTTAACATTAAGGAGTGCACCGGTGTGTGTGCGTGTGCATGCGTGTGTGTGAACTCTTGTACTTAGAGTGTAAAGTGTTACTGAAGGGTAAATTTTTCCATTAAACCGCTCTGCTTTTTTCTTTAAGCATCTGCTGGTTAAAGAGCTTTCAGTTATTGCGTTTACACTTCAAATCAACATGTTTTATGTTGATTTCTTTGTTTTCTGTAAATGTTTTGCAGTTTTGAATTCTTATGTTGGAAAAGTCTTTAAGAGAGGATTTGTGTCATTGTTCCATAAACGTCAGTGTGGTTATAGTTCTTTAAAGTCTTCTTCTCTGATCACAGTTTTATGATGCTTTTTACACGCCCTGCACTTTAATCAGGTTTTCTCTGAATCTCTGGCTCCTCTTTTCCACCTTAATTAAAACTTTTTCTTCTTTCCTTTCCTCTTTATTCATGCCTCTCATTACCAAGCCTCCTTTTAGTGCCCATATCTTCTGTGCTTTTTACTGTCTAATCTTCCCACCTTTACAGGAGTCCACTTAGTTTCTTTCCCAGCCTTGAGTCCTACTGGGAAGGGTTGGCTGCACAGTACAAACCACAATCCTCCAGTCCTCAGTGAGTGTGCCCAACTCTTGTCCCCCCTGGTCTTGCACACTACATAATCCCATTTGCACTTCGATCCTCAAAGCCCTGTCTGCATGCTTCCAGCTAAATGTCCCAACCAGGCAACAACAATACTGGCCGTGGTCTTAAGTTCAGAGATGGTTTCAGACAGTATTTTGGACTTCTTCCTTTTACATGGCAGTGAGACAATAGCCGTCGTTGTGCAGTTAATTCTCATTTTCAATTTCTGGCTGTTTCTGGATTGTTAAGAGCTGCTGAAGTTTCTCTCATCATACTGCAATGCTAAGTCAAAAGTTTAGTCATGTGTGGTAAAACATGCTGGAGTTGCATCTACATGACCGCAGTGAAGTCAATCTGTTCATGGTGCTTTATCAGCAAACACTGCACTGAAGTGTTTGCTGTGTCTTTTCTTGAAAAGAAAAGACGCTGGAGGTAATATTCTGTATTTAATAAAGGTGATTTGTGCCCAGAATCACTGAGTCTAAGGCAAATAATGACATTAGAAGGAGCGTGTCTTGCTGTGCTCAGTTCAGAAAGTAGTTAGAACATGCAGTCAAGCATCTGAAATTCTCAACTATTTCCCACTGCAAGGTTTTTATTACTTTTTGTGGTCAACATTAAGGTGTCAAACTAAATGAGAGAGTGTCAACATGAACGACGTTAAAACTCAAAGAAACATTAAGAGCATGGCTAAAGTAGTGTTGGGTTAAATGTAACTGTGGTTCGTGTTTTCTTTAATACCATCCCCTTTATTAAGTCAACACATCTTTAGTTTGTTTAAAACTTAGTGGAAATGTAATCAGGACAATATGAGGCAGATGTAGCTGTGGTTTATGTCATGAAAAACAGTAGTGATCCTGGGAATATTGTGTTTCTATATGGATACATAAATATCTTTTTACATTTTTCAACAATGTGTATTTTATTTTATTTTTTTTACCTTCAAAAATTCTCAGCATATGAACCAAAGATGCAGTAGGAAATGTCCATTTGCCTCATATTCTTGCTGTTGAGATCAGAATCATAATGGAAAGCAAGTTTTAATCGAAGAGATAAAAAATGCAATGTTGTTTTCTATTTAAACATTGTGAAACTTTGGTCGAAAGGTGAAAACTATAGTCAATGGTATAAATGCTGACTTCTAATTGAAATCATAAATAAAAAGTGGTTTGGGTTGATATAGCTCTATCCTTCAATGTTCTTGTTTTGGGATTCTGTAAGCTAAAAGAGTAATTTTTTCTGCATATTTTCAGCTTTCAATAAAGACAAAGGCTGGCAAAGCTGATACATATGGAACAACACTATTACACTGAGCAAATCATTGTGTTTTCTGTTGAATAGACACAGCAAAAGATTTGTAATGTTAAGTCCCTCCAACTCTTCACAAATGGGAAGTTAAAGTTTACATTTTCACAAAATACTAGCAACAATCAAAGGCATCAAAAAACTGCATGAAAATAATTCAAAATTAAAACCCAGCAATGATAAAGAGGCTTCTGTAATCACACGTTTGGTATGTATATATATATATGTGTGTGTGTGTGTGTGTGTTATGTTTATTCTTTTTTTTGTTTATTGCAGTGCTTTATGCTCAGTTTGGAAAAGTCTCTTAAGTCCTTTTTTTCAGTGGTTTTTGTAAACTGTTATATTAGCGATGTTTCCACTGCATAGTAAACAGCAAATTATGATTTTGATGTCCTTAATTTCCTGAGGAAAAACCTAGAAATATACAAACAAGACTGTAGTTTTGTGTGGCACACTGACTGTCTAGTGTAGTTAAAATATTGTCAATATTGTGATGTATGCAGACTGTAAATCCTAATTTTGTCCTCTGTAGTGGAGTCATTGTTGCATGTTCAGCACCACAAGAAGACCAAATGATCAGAAAATTCAAGTCTCCTTCTTACTTATGTTATACAGAAAACTGCCCTCACAAAAATAGCAAGAAGAAAAAGTTCAGCCACAATTTTTCAAGAAGAAGCTTTTGGGGTAGCAGGCTGTGTATTAATCTGTCTGAGTTTGTAATCAGGTGCTCTAGTTTCCCAAAAAACGAGCAACTGGGTACAATATTAGTATTGATAGCCACAGTAACTTGTTGCTGGATCCACTAGGACTCAAAACAAAACCATAAATATTTCCAATTTATGATATTTTGTGTAGTTTTGTAATTTATATTTGGTTCTGGGTGTTTTTCTATGCTTTTCTGTCTATGTTTAGCAAATTGTTTTTCTACCTGTCACCAACATTCAGTGTCAGGTAGACACTAAATGTTGGTGCGATACCTACGGTACTTTTTTTTATATATCGCACCAGCTGACCAAATCATTTTTTTTTAATCATGAGGGTGGAGTCATATGGCTTAATATGAAATTTTGCATAAATACTATTAAATAAAGAGAGATTATCTCACTTATATCTTGCCTTTGAATTACTTTAAATTGGCCAGTCTTATTATTGTAAAAAAATCGTCTATTGTTTCAAAGCTGTTGGAAAATGTAGGATCATGCAGTACTTAATGACTCAATCAAATCCAGTTTGTTGTTGTCCACCACTTGTTCTTACTTGTAATGAAGTTCAGCATGATGCTCTTAAATGTGTTGTAATTGTGTAATATCCCTTCCTTCAGTGCACCACCCTACCTGCAAGAGAAGCTGTTAAATGTCACCAAACCTCTGCTAGGATAACTTTAAAATGAACTAAAATGCAGCATATTTTGCTGGATATCCATGTTTGTTACTGACATTTTATGCTATTGCTGTTTTAAGCTCCAGCCCTTAAAATTTATGTCTTTCTGAAAGTTTAATGATGTCTTATGGTTATTTTTAATGCAGGTGAAAACGTCTTCATCACCATCTGAGTCGGAAAATTCTGACCCTATAATTGTTCTTATATTTACTTCTGTATTTTCGACATAGGTCATCTTCAGGAAAGGTGAGTCCGGAGAGCATACGTTCAAAGGCATCTCCATCAGAATCGTCCGAAGAGAGTCATGACCAGCGTGGAAGGAAACCTCCTCCCAGTCCAGGAAGGAAAGAAGAGTTATCCTTATACAAGAAGACCAAAAGAGCAATAACAAGCAAGAGGTACATGTCCAAGCATGAAGCTGAACCAACAACACCTATTGAACTTATCAGTCGAGGCCCAGATGGACGATTTGTCATCGATCCCACTGATGCAGAAATGTCAGTCAAGCCCCGCCGTATTGAGGGCTTCCCCTTTGTGGAAGAATCAGACCTTTACCCAGAATTTCGGCAGTCGGACGAAGAGAATGACGATCCCAGGCCTCTTCCACCAGTTATGGCACCGCTTCGGCCTCACCAAATTTCCCCAATCTCCAGTCAGGAATCTTACCTCCAGCCTCCAGCCTACAGTCCTCGTTTTCACAGACCTTTTGAAGGTATGACCATCATGGAGAGCAGCCAGCTCCATGCCACAGGACAGATCCGAGGCTCTCTCCACCATAGAGCTTTCTATGGCTATCTAGGACCACCAGGAGATCACGATCCCCCGCCTCCTTTCTACATGCCTGACACCAGCCCTCTGAGGTCGGTCATGTCCTCTCCTCCATACTTTGCTGAGGGTCCTTTTGCGCACCACATGATTCCTGAAGAAATCGGAGAGGGTGAATTTCCACAATACGCCGTGTCCAGCTTCCCACTCCCTCTGACACTGACCTCTTCCTCTCATTCACCAGAGATTTGGCAGGGACTAGATTTTACCTTTTCAAGTCTGGAGGGGCCTCAATTTATATTCCCCCCACACCACCCTCTGCATACCCGCCATGATCCTCCCTACGCCTCTCCACCTCATGTGCTTCCCCTTAGCGCTTTCCAGCACTCTTCCCTTCCAATGCCTACCTACCCAACAGTCCTGCCACTTGAGGCCCCAAGTGGCAGAATGTCAAAGAGTCATAAAAGCAAGTCTCCCAGCAAGGCCAGGCCTCATGGCTCCCCAGCCAGGCATTTAGCTATGCAAGAGGCACATTTAGGGCAGCTAAGACCTTCAGGCCATAGTATGGGTGTGCCAGTTTTGTCTTATACTGATCCAATGGCTCATATCGTCCCCAGCACATTCAGTAATCTGGATACACGATGGTTTGAAACCACCCCCCGTTTTAGTCCCAGACAGACTCGTAGGATGGATTCTGGCTTGCATCAGGTGGTTCTTCAACCCTCTCGACTTTCACCCCTTACCCAAAGCCCCCTTAGCTCTCAAGAGGGCTCCCCAGAGATTGTAGTGCGCCCACGCCCACGTCCAAGCATTGTGCAGCCTCCCATACCCCCAGGGATGTCTGAGATTACCCTGCTTCCACCGTCCACAGCCAGCTTTTCAAGGAGATCATCCCCATCCTCATCACCTGCTCAAGGTCAGGGTAGCAGGAGAACAAGCCCCAGCTACCGTTCCCACATGGCTTTTGCCACCGCTGCAACCAGTTACCCAGCTTCCCAGTCCCCATCGCCCCCCATGGAAAGCAGCAGCATATTTGGGCAAATGCCAGCTCATAGGAGGACTGAGGAGGAGATCCTTCCATCTGAGCCCTCTCCACCCCAGTTGTCAGCTTCAGGGTAGGTCTGTTAGGCATGCAGAGAGGGATGCCATTTGTGTCATCTGCCTTAACCCATAATGCTTTGATGTGGGAAGTTGCTCTGACATTTTGGCTACTGAAGTTCTATATCTACCTATTGGACCATTGGTTTAATAGTTGGGTTTGGGGTTTTTTTTGTATATAAAATTTGAAAATGAAAGCAACCTGATTCAAAGCAACCTATTTGTTATAACAATAGATTTGCATTCTGGGATGTTAGCTTGTAGTTTGAGTTCTGCTGATGCAGCTCTTCATCTCAGGCTTCAAGTTGGAGGTTTTCACCCACTAAATCTGTGAGGCACTGTCTCCAAGTTGACCAGCTAGAAAATGGCAAAAAAAAAAAAAAAATTTCTATTCTATAAAAAAAAGTCTTGAAACTAATGCAAGTAAATAATTAGTTGGATTGGAATGCATTGTATTCATAGATTTCATTTAACACATTTAAGAGCTACAGTCCTTACAGTCAGCCATCATTTAAGATCTTAGTTTTTGTCATCTGTATCATGCATTACCCTGCTTTCACTTAACAGGCGGAACCCCATATTATTCATCTAATTAATGTCCTAGAAGAAACACCATCATTACGCTTAGTTCAAAGCCTTTCAAAGTGCCTTTATTAAGCAGAAGGATGCTTTAAGAAGAGTTCATCTTGGCAGGCCCTGCGGCCCATCCTCAGCCTTTGATTGCATGATCAAATCTACCTTACCTTCCAACCTCTCAGATTTTTCCTACCCACCTTCCTTTCCCCTTTCTATCACTCTTTTTCCCCAAACTTTTAAGTGTTACCAGGTCACCCCCAGGTCTGACTACCAAGGAGAGGTTTTTGGGCAAAGTGTGTCACAGGGCCTGTCCGCTTCTCATGTACTGCAATGTCTCCATCATTATGAATTAGGGGCAGGGTGGTGGTTCTTAATGACTCCTGGAGTCTTACCTGCTTTGTTTTTGATTGATCTCAGCTATCTGGGCAGCGTTGTTGTGACCAGGTCCTCTACACCGCAATAGGTAAGGGTTGGATCCATGTCTGAAAGGGGGGGGTTAGCAGGTGGGACTTTTTTGATCACCTCGTCCTTTAAAGGGGAATACAAGGCTTTGAGTCTTTGTTTGATTTGTTCCTTCCGTCACTCAGTACATGTAGTTTTTTTTCTTCTTTCTGTTGTTTACTTTCTTCTTTTTGTCAAAGTGGCTATGCATTTTACGTTCTGCAGTCTTAAGTACATTATGCATTCTGACTGATATGCATAAGCCATCCGTTATCTGAGAGATCAGGACAAAGAGGTCTCAGCAACAGGACTCGCTTGCTTGACATGCTTGAGTTGTTTTTTTTTAATTGACACAATTACTTACAACTATCTGTAGAAATAAAAACTTTATCAAAGGAAAATGCACCCAAGGTAAAACCATCATCACAGGATGCTCATTCATGGATGAGCCAGGTTTTTATGGAGTTTGAATCCAGATAAAGACTAAGCTCTGTTATCTTGGTAAACATAATCACAGTGCCAGTGAATGGCTGGTATGTTCAGGATGTCCAACCTTAGTCTTAAATGTCAATTTACTTCACACCTTTTGAGAAACTGTGTCTTGCAAAACTATACATAACCTTTAGCTTGAAGGAAAGACAATGATATATAGTGTTGAATTTTTAAAAACCTTAATTATAGCATGTGTATTCAGCCCCCTCTTAGTCAATCCTTTGTAGACTCATATTTTTTGCTCCAAGGCTTTGGGATAATGGCTTTATCAGCTTAGATCTTTGTCTACCCTTCTTCACTAAGTAGCTCATGCTCATGCAGATTGAATAATAATTGTCCATGAACTCTAAAATTCAAGTCTTGCCTGGGATTACCAAATAGATTAAGGTCTGGACTTTGACCTAAAACACAAGCTTTGATCTAAACTATTCCACTGTAGCTCAGGATGTTGCCCTACTATAATCAGTTTTCTTTCATGATTGTCTCGTAGTCAGCTACATCTCTCTTTCCATCATCTCTGACTTCTCTGTTGCTGTTGAAGAAAAAAAAAACATTCCCATAATGCTGCCACTATCATGTTTTACTGAGGAAAAGGTGTGTTCAGGGTGATGTACATTGTGTACACGTATTTGCACATAGTCCACAAAGTTCAGCGTTGGGTACAGCTGACCACAGCATCTTCTTATATGTGTTTGCTGTCTCCCACGTGGCTTATGGCAAACGTCAAACAAGAATCATTGTGGTTATCTTTCTACAAAGACTTTCTTCTTGCCACTTCTACATAAAGACCAGATGTGTGGAGTGTCTTGTTAACAGAATCTCCTAAACAACTTGTGGATTCCCTTAACTCCTTCAGGGCTACCAAGGGCTTCTTGGCTGCTTTTCTGATTGATGATGTCCTTGCCTGGCCTGTCAGTTGAAATGAACAGCTATGTCTTGGTATGTTTCAAGTTGTGACATAGCTTTTTCCATTTTTAATATTCTTTTAAAACTCTGGTTTGAGCCTCTCCACATCTTCTTCTCTGACCTGTCTGCTGCTCCTTGGTCTTCATAATGCTGTTTGTTGACTAATTTTCTCAGAAACACATGAAGCCTGCATAGAACACCCAAAATTTATGCTGAGAATAATGACGTGACTTTTGAAGATAATTGGTTGCTCTGGATTTAATTGAATGAGGAGGATAATCAATATACTTATCACACTTTTAAAAATATTGCTTGTATTTTATGATTTTCTTTCCTCTTACTATCTTTTACTTTAATTGCTACTGTATGTATATGCCTAATAAAATACATTCAGGTTTATGGTGGTAATGTATGGAAGAGTTCAAGAGGTATGAATATTTTTGCAAGGCACTGCAGTTGAATGTTGTGGTTTATAGATATAGGTGGAGTTTTTTAGCCTCACGTTTATATGTAATTATAAAAGAAGAACATTGAGCCAGCAGTTAAAACGTTACAGATATTTCCATAGTAGTAATATCTATGAAAAGCCTCCAGTTACCACAGCAACAACTCAGTTCCACCAAGTAAAAAGTCAACAAGCCAAACCCTTATTTTTTGTCTGTGCAGCGACTAACTGCCTATAAACCTGGGTTGTGATTTTGAGCGCTGACTTCAGACCTGAACTATGTGGCAAGTAAATAGGCTAATATGTTTCCCTAAACCTCTACGTCAAAACACATTGCACTCCTAACCGCTGCGGTCTTGACATTGCTTTGCTACAAACTGCATGGTCAGCGCCCAGTAAAAAAAAAAAAAAGTAATTATAAGAACTGCATGTCAAGAACTATACAGTAGTTGAATGTGTACTTCATTTCGTCTTGTTTCCTTTAACCCATTAGTCTACCATTTACTTCATTGAACATTTTTTACCAGGATGGAATCAATCATTGTTTGATTGTCAAGTTTATTTGCAGAAGCTTTATTTGCAGGCAGGGTTTCCCTGCCTGTTTGAGCTGCCCCCCCAATAAAACTGACTGTTTGTTGAGACTTAAGGTTCTTTCAGATAGTAGTTCAGCAACAAACGTGAACTTTTCATATTTATTGAGCGAGTGAAATAAAAAATAAGATGAAATAAAAACAACCATGACACCAGGAACTGCTACTTCACATCTTGTTGACTTTTGCTATCATAAAAGATGATTTGCCTTAAACCTTGCTTTGCCTCAAAATGCATGGTGTTTTCAGACCAGGTGGTTGGAGATTGAAAGGGGTGCAGACTATGACTTGTTTAAGTTAGAAAATCTAAGTTAGATTTTCTTCTGGGAACTCCAAGACAGCGGCGTCAGATTTTAGTTTTTGTAGGACTTCTACTCCCACAAGTGCTAGACATGCTTGTTTTAGGTGTGTATTTACCCAGAACGCCTTACGCTAAAGTTCATCTCGTGACTCTGGATTGGTCTCTGGGCCACTTGCCATTCACGTATGCATTCGAACCGCACCAGAGTTCACTTCAACCAAACCGAGATCTAGGTTTGTAGGAGAACCAGAGTTCACCTTTTTGATCCGCATCCCACGTTGATCGCACATTTAGATTTCTAGGCAAGTGAACTAAAGTTTGATCAAAGTGGAATAAACAGGGCTGGTGTGAATGCACCCTGTCATATCACCGCGTCACATTTTGTTGTTTTTAAAATTTTGTTGTGCTTTCTTGCACAATGATGATAAAAGAATTTTGATTCTTCTCATTCAGATTTGTTCTGCAGACCCATATCACCCTTATACACAGTACATAGTGGTTGCAGTTTCTGACTTCTTCTCAAGGCAGATAAGAGGGAGAATTCATGTTGGTGAGTTAACTTTAGCCCTTCGTTCTGAGCCAATACCTAATTTTTAGTGGTAAGCAATGAGGAAACAAAAGCATAATTCAGAAGGGGCTTTAGATTAAGGTTCTTGTAATGCCATGGTGGAACAGGAGATGGAATTGCCTCTCATTAAACTGAACCTTTAAATTCATTCAAGGTCCAACATTCATCAAGGTTTTAAGGCAGATCCAGCTGTTTTTGCTGTTATTGAGCACTAGCCTTATCATTGTGAACCTACACTATCACATTCTTTATTCCAAAGATATCGAACGTAATTGTTTGTATTCAATAGATGACGGCACAGAATAGCTTCTGCACAAACTAAGGGGAAATCCCTGAATCAACTTATTCACTGTCAATTGGTTTCTTTTAAGTAGTACTAAATTGTTGACTCATTGGTTTTTCAGAAGGACAACATGTGAGCAATTAAAGACATAGAGGTCGTCAATATGGGTCAGCAGTTTTCAGGTTTGAACAATTTTCATGACTCGTAGTGGATAAGAAAATGGGTGTAATGCATATAAAAATTGTAGTAATAATAATAATGAATTTTTTTGCACAATACATCTAATTGGATTGCATTTTTCCTGCAGTCACACTAATTAGGTGGCATCAGAAAAGTCATCTTAAAACCCAATATGCTGTTCCATCTGCCTGGTAATACAAGAACACTGAACTCACTTCTGTTGGACAGCACCAATATAACAGGTCCCCCTACTGCCCACAGGGAAAAGGGACAGTATGCCATAAACTCAACTTTTTTAGCTTTATATCATCATATGATGTTACTCTCTCATCAAAAACACACATGGAGATTTGCCTTGATTCTTTCATGCATGTTTGAGAAATCCTTTAATCTCCTGTGGCAACCAGTCAGCCGTGCAAAACGCCTGGTTGGACCAAGTGCCACCATTGAGGCACAGTTCCTCTTCAGAGTCGCAGTTTCCAAACTTCTGAGCTTCCGACTCACAGTGCAGCCCTCCTCCGTGACTCTCCCCCTCAGCTCCTTCAGACTAGCCAGCAGCAATTAGCAAACCCCTGGTGGGACTGCGCATCTGTTGAGCTCATTATACGAGCAGCTTCTCAGTGAAATGCTGGTAGAATGCTCTTGAAGGGTTAATGGAGGAATGATGACTTCTGAAGGTGGAGTTTCAGAAAGAACAAAAGTTTTTAAAGAGACAGCGGCCCAATTTCAAGGCATTAAATTGTGAGGCCACATTTCTCTTAAGTCATATATATATATATATATATATATATATATATATATATATATATACTTCGTATCATGGATTTCATTGATACGTAAAGGTAAGACAGCAATGTTTATTTTTTTAATGAAGTGTGCGTTTTGTGGGCTAAGGTTTGTATGTCTAAATAATTCAGTAAAGTAGAAGCGGTAGCTCATCTACCACAGCAATTATTTATTAATTAAACATTAAGCCTAAAACGTACTACAACAACAGACTGAATGTTCTGTTCTGTGTGCAAAATTCTTGGAACGTTTTTTTTGCTGTTAAATCCTAAAACATGAAGTGGCATTGTTGTCAGTTGCTATGGCAACGAGTCTGCGTAGCTTGGCGAATACAGATCACTTTGCTGTGGATCATAGCACGAAATTAATACCTACATTTCTAAGTTTCACTGAGTTAACGCGGCTATGGATGACATGTAAATGATTAGTCTTTTACCCCTCCAGCGTTGTATGCCTGCGCAAAATTTGCGTACGTCCAAATAACATGCATGGTGTCTAAGTCACAAGTCAGTGCCTCACCAGCAATGAACCTCACCGCACGTCATATATATATGAAAATACACAATGCTGCCCCTTTAATATAAGCCTTTGTAATAATTTAATAAACTGTATTTTAAGTAGTATGTCTTCATCAGCTGGTGAAACGACTTGTGTAACATTCTCTTACCTGATTACAATTTCTGATCACAGATCACATGTACAGGCAGGTGTTGAAAATAGGACTAATATGTTAGACTGCTGGAATTCAGACATCCGTTTCCAGACATAACGACACAGTGACATTTGTAGTTTCTCAGCACTGCAGACCTCTGCAAAAATTTCAAAGTACAACAAAGAGAGAGTCAAACATTCAGCTGGTACGGTTTGAAACAACTCATTAGTTGTAAAACCCTGGAGAACTTTCTAATTTCTCATTTTTAATATAAAAAATTTAATTTATTTTCCCCTTGGGATTAATACAGCAGTTTTAATGTAAATTATAAGATACATATTCATGTTTACTGCTAAAACACTACATAAACATAGATAACCTAGGCATAGATTGTTGCGTCTGTGTCACCTTTGGCTATGAGTCTCTTCAGCTGAATGTACGTCATGTATATGTTTTTTTTTTTTTTTTTTTTACATTTCCTAACAGCAAAGCAGAAAGCGCATTGCTTGTTTTTGGCAGTGATGAAGCACATTTCTAAATCTCAACTACTATGCTTAGCATGTTTTTTTTATATTGTTATGTAGGAAATGCAGTAGATTCTTCCCAGGTTCCGAAAAGCTACGGAGCAACAGAAGTCTAGATCAGGCTTCAGCCCCACTATAAACCGAGACGCACTGCTGGTGGACACAGGGATGGAATACTCTGCATAAAGCAACCGTGCGTTAATTTTAATAGTCGTTAAGTTTGGACTGCAGAACAGATTTCTCTGTGTCCGGCCGTAGATACTCACCTACTTGATTTTATTCTAAGGAACAAATACTTTGCAGAAGTCAGGCACTCAAGGGGTCAACGACACCCTAAAAATAGACTGAAGTGCCCAATGAAGTGCTTTTGAATGTATTCCCCTTTAAAGTCATGTTCCATGTGCAAACTGCCATGCATGCCATTGCTAAATATTGCTTCTCCGTTTTCAAAATCAAAACAATTATATGGGAAAAAAAAAAAAAAAAAAAATCTTGTTACATTTGTTGTCCTGGTGCTTCGCTTTTCTTTGGCTTATTTTTCATTATGTGACTGTTCCTGAGTAGTCATTTTCCCCTCCCGCCATCTCTCCCCCTGTCAGCATGGTGAAGCCCATTGTAGACAGTATCCATGTCTATGAACACATATTGATGATGCTTTGTCGCTCAGCTGTGATTCTCCCCCCTCTACTAACAGCGTTTGGTTTCTCTCTGCAGCCACGGTGGGAAGATGGCCTCTTTTGCAATGCTAATTGTTTTCTGTGTGTTTGTGGCAGAAATCTGTGGGCTGCCAAACTCTATGTGCCTCCATGAACAGGAGGGAGTTGGTGACAAGCTGCCAAATATACTCTACTTACCAACAAAGTCTATGCAACTGTTGTTTTCAGAAAGCCACTGCGTCATTTGCACAGTAAATATCCGACTACAAAAGTGTTTTTTTTTTTGCATTTAACATGTCTCATTATTGAAAATCTTGCTGAACAATTTTACTCTGAAACCAACAGTTCAAGACCTGTTTAAATGTTGCATTGATGTGTCCTCTATAAAACATGACTCAGTGATCTAATCTGCACTGTAGGGATAAACTGGGGGGGTGTAATATTCAAGATGTAGGTTTTATCAATATATATATATATATATATATATCACTTTTAGTCCATGTAATAGTGCTGATTTTGGGGCTTGGGGAGGTTTGTGCTCTTCTCGATGCACAAACACAGTGCGCTGACCACGATCGGCCCAGAGTTACCCGTGTTTTCCCTTTCTCTCTTCCCTTCATGTAGAAAACGTCGAGGTGCGTCGAGTGCCCATTTGGGGTCTGAGAGGAGTGATGCACTGAGATACCAGCGCGTTAGAAAGGCCAAGAAGATGACGATGAACAACAATAACTCAAAGACCAGAAAGAAAGCAGGTATGGACAGTTTTCCACACCCAATAGGAGTAACTAAGGACGAAGAAGTGACTGGATTACAAATACAAGGCAACCTATAGAACCAAAACCTAGCAATTAGACACAAGATAGGCAATTTTCCAGGTTGATACGCAATTTTCTTCCACCAGGTGTCTCCACCTCTCAGACCCAGCAGGCCTACACCTCTCAGGTACTCCAGCCCGAGGAAGCGCGCTACCTCTCCAAGAAGAAGAAACGGCCCATTCTTCATGACCCGTATGCTCGCTTTTCTGCTCTGCTGTACCGCCGTCCACCACGGGAGGACCAGAAGGCCATTTTAGCAAGCATGGACAACATGGACCTAGACCACGCCACCTTCCTTTGAAAGGCCCCGGGGATGAGGTCACAACTCGGGACAGGCTCCCATTACCATTCCATCAATACGCTGCAGTTAGACAAGACAGCAAAGTCAGTGGAATGTCTTTATTTCCATTATCTACAAAATGGAGTACATGTCAGAGTACAGATTTAGTGCAATCTGTAGGTTCACACTTGTTTTATTGGATCTGCATTCATCAGTGGATTGCTGTTGACAATAACCTAGAGTACTCTAGGGCATAAACTGAACAAAGACTTCTAAATCTAAACATTTTCTAGTAAAAAATTATATTCTAGTACAAATCAGTTTGTCTCGTTTTACTTTAACTAAGAGTAGTACGGAAGAGGATCTAGAGTGATCTCCCAGATTGGAGTTGTAGCTGTAAGGCAGTTCCTGTGGAAAAAAGTCTGGAGGATTTGTTAAAAAAAAGCGATGCGCCGAGGCACAAACGTGTCCTGCATCATTTTAAATCGGCTAGTGCATCCTTCTGAAAGTGACTTTACTGATTTTGAGATTCCAATTGAACATTTACTCCAGTGCAAAAGTCAAAATTTTACAAACAGGTGGCGGGACTTTTATCATTCGACACTCTTTCCCCCAACGTTGTTCCGGAGTCCCCTTTATTGAGAGAGTCTAAATGATTCATGCTAAGCTCCCACACCTCCGTTTACAGGTCCTTCCAATGAATTCTCTGCCTCACATTTAAGGACGATCTTACTTCCTACCAACTTTACCTCAGAGCACACGAGACCACACAACCGCCAGAGTCGACCTGCTCAGCTCTTTGACTTCTCCTGTCCAAATAAGAAACACTCTTTCTTCACTACTGCAATGCTGAAAATGTACCTTTCCTCTGGTTTTAAAAGGGGCCATATATTTCCTGTCCAGCTAACCTACGTCAGAAAATGCCGAAGCTAACCAGAAGCTGACATTCTAAGCTTTTCTGCTCTGCTGTAAATAATCAGGACAGGAACTCACTTGTTTTAGGAATGTCAAAGAAACGAAAAAACAAAAACCTTTAACTTATTCCCTCGCTCTAAGCTGCACTCTTTATTTGTTATAATCCAGTCCACTGGGATGCATTCAAAAGGCAAATCAGATGTGGAGACGTGGCATTTTCAACCATCACCATAGAAATCGTTAGTTTAGTAGGAAGCAGTACACACGCTCTATTTGCAAGAGCTTCTGCTTAAACAAGTGCTACTTTTGTCTGACAGCTGTTTGCACTGGAGCAAAAATCTCATCAGTTCCATTACATTTGCTTTTTCCTTTTCTGAGGGCTCCAAATTTTGTTGAGAAACTTTTTGCCAAAAGTTTTATTTAAAATTTGAGTAGATGTTGGAAGATAGGATTTTGTACCTTGGTATATCAGTGTAAACATAAAGAACACACTGTTTTCTTTGGCCTGAAAAATACCTTTTTGCCTGTTTTACATACTAGTTTGTTTTTTTAAAAATTGTGCTCCATTTTTTTGTATATTCTTCTTATGCGAGTCGATCTGAGTTCAGAGAAAAGCAGAACACGTTTAAGGTAAAACAAAGTGAGCCAAAAAGGTTGTGTTCATCTGCATTTTCCACTGGAATTGGCAGAGCTTTACTGTTTATCTGCGTTTTGTTTAAAACTGCATGAGAATGAGGACTTTTCATTTACAACAAGGTGCCATAACTGCATCAACTGCATCCTACTCTGCACATTCTGCTGCTCGATGGCGCTCTAAATCACAAACGGTGGACATGCGCAGCAACAATTAGCCCGACATTATATTTTTTATTTTTTTAAACCTCAACGGTGCTCAGTTTCTTTGATTTGTGCAAGTACTTTAAAATCTCACGGGGACATTTGCTGTGAAAATGTCTCATGTCGGATATGCATTTTATTTGATTCTTTTTGTGTGATCTTAAGCTGCTGGTCCTACGAAGCCTTCAGACGTTTGTCATGTCTATCATTTTCATTTGTTTGGTCTGGTTAAGGTATTTCCACAGTACATGCAGACAGGAGTGCTAACCGTGGGCTAATCGGGAAAATATTTAAAAAATGTATAATGAAAAAGATATGACTAAATTTCATTAAAATTTTCAAAAAACTAACAATAAAACTGTTAAAAAAAGATGCACACATGCAGGTAGAACCTAAATAAATTAGAATGTCCTGGTTTCACAAAGAGAGATATATTTTTATTAGTTGAAATAATTATGGCTTAAAGCAAATGAAAACCCAAATATATTGAATTTAACAAATCCCAGCAGAGGAAAATAAGCTTGGATTGTTAAAAACAGCTGATGATCGCAGAGCAGTGACATACAGCAGCTGGTTTTGTTGGGGACACTAGATCAGTACATCCCTTCCAAAGACGGGTAGACCCCTAAAGTTGATTGGTGTGTTGCTGAGAGCTGTAGAGAGCAAATGGCTTCCTTAACAACGTCTGATGTTAAGGAATCAGGAATCAGACGCTGATACACTGTATTCATGTAGAAATTCATACAAAAGGAGATCCGTCCAGTTTCTGACTACATGTACCGCACAGTATATGTACAAACTTTTTAACGGGACCAAATTTCTGCATTAAGAACATCCATTTTGTTACTACTATGTAACACAGCAATTCTGTTTTACTAAATATTTGGTTTTTGTTTGCTATAAGGCATAATGATCAAAATGAACAGACAGTAAAGAGTAACTTACAACGTATTGATTAGGATTTAATGAATCGCTCAAATGCTCTTGTGTTTTGGGTTAAGAAGGAAACGTGCCTCCGCAGATGTCATCTAGTGTGGAAATAACTTAGAATTGATCACGTATATGAATGTTTGAACAAATATAAATCCTCAATCTTGCTTCAACGTTACTACTATTGTCAACAGATAGATCAAGCAGCAACAGCTCGTCAACGGCTAATCGTTGGCGATATCCTTTAGCGTCCTGAGGTATTCTAAGGTCTAGCTCAAACACAACACTGTCTTCACATTCTGATGTGACGGTGATTGATCACAGGTGCTTCAGCAGTGGTGTCAAACAGGGGCTCTTCAATCAGCTACAGGTGCTACAAGAGGAGCTGACAGATCCTTCCAAAAAAAAAAAAAAAAAAAAAAAAAGGACAAACTCTCACGTCTGGAACTGTATTTTTCTAGTTCTTGAGGGGAAATAAGAGGATGTCGGAAGTCCTGACTGGATTCAAAATCCCATCAGGAAGGAGAGCTAAAACTGGTCAACCTGATGTTGCTGCCATAATAAAAAATAATGTATTGCTGTTAAAAGAAAAAAAAACAGGGCGTCTCAGATTCCCTTTTGCTTTGATTGACTGTCACGATCGACTCCTTTCGGGAGAGCGGGGTTGTGAACCTGGGGGGTGGGATTTGCAGACACTTTTGAAAACCTGCAGCAGTCGAAGCAGACACGAGAGCGATGCGTATGGATTTCCTAATTGAGGCGTGGTTATATTTTACAGTATGACAGTTTAATTGTGGCATAACGGATAAAGTGAAACTGTTCTCAAAATACTGAAAACCAGACTACGGTTAAAATCGATACAAATTTCACACAGCCTGCATTAGCACCAAACATATATGTATGCACTGTTTGTACGTGTTTGGTATTTACACAGCAAGGTTCTTTTAAAATCCAGTCTGAAGGGCAAGTTGCATCAGAACTTGTTTTTTTTTTTGTTTTTTTGTTTTTTTTTTGAGTAGTAGTTTTGAGGTTTCGTTTGTCCTGGATGGCAGATTTGGACTGAATAAGCTGGACGTAAAGCAGCAGCTACAGTAACCGCAGTTACGATTCATTAACTTAAATAGAAAGGAGGTTCCCTGTTGGAACACGTAACCATCCAGGAGATGAATCTGTCTCCCAGTGATTCTCTGTTATTTTTGTATAACCACGAGATTCATATAAATGTGTAGGATTGCATCCGCGTTGGATGTCTCATGACGTCAGTTGATTGACTTTAAAGCCGTAGTCTGTGTTCTTCGACAGACTACAGCTTCGTAGTGAGAGAAAATGACAAACCGAAATAATCCCACCGCCTTTCTGTAGTCTCGGCTGTAATGCTGCTAAAGAAGAAGCCGGAAGGGAGACAGTAATTGATGTGAAATCTGACGATCGACAGTGAAAACGTCTGCAGTTTCACCAATAAAGGTTTTGATATGATGTGAGTAGAGATGGTAGATCTGAACTGGAAAGAGCCACACTTCAAAAAGCTATCCCTCTAGAAATCATAAAGACTAATAAATATCACTTTTGTATAAATTGAGAAAGATTAAAACGTGAACACATGGGTACTAATTGATGCTGTGATTGTTTTCGCCACATTTAATTGTAAATTGATTTATACGAAGTGAAATCGAAGGTTTAGAGACCAGCCTGTTCTAAACAAAACACTATGGGTTCCCAAAAGTCTGACAGCCGCTGCGTTTAAAAAAAAAAAAAAAAAGATGAATTAATGTGTGTTGAACATCTGCAGACCTTACAGTAAGACCTAACCAGTTTGATCCGACTTGTTGTTCCGAAGCGCAGCCGTCAAACATATTCAAACTGATCCCATCGGTCTTTGCAGGATGCAGACATTGGCGACCTTTGCCATTCATCGCTATGGCAACAGAAATCTTGAGTATTGATCAAAAATGTCCAGGCTGGATAGCATACCTAAATGCATTTTAGATTTATAATTCAGGCTAAAAAAAAAAAAAAAAAAAAATTAAATACGGTGTAAAAATCTCAAAAGAGCTTACCATAAGATATATATATATATAAAAATATATATAAATATATTTTGTAGAGGAAAACATGATGCACATCAGAACTGAGAGTGAGAACTGAGTAGTGTGCGGTCTACTTCAGTGACACGGTGTAACATGGTGTGATATCAGTGTCTTTACTGTATGTGAGTGCTTAAAAATGAAATACTAGAAATTAGCGTAGGAATTTAATATCAATTTATTATCATAGAGAGAGAAGACAACACACGCGTTGGAAGCTAGATTAACGGGACGGCCCTTGTTTTCAAGAATGTAAAAGTCAATATCCTATTATTTTTGTACTCATACGTTGCTTTGTACCGTAGCAATGCAGAACTGTACACAGAGTAGAGAAGAAATATGTCGTCTATCTAAGCTCCTGAGTTGTTCAGAAGAGAAGAAATTGGTGCACCGAACTGTACTGTATATCTTTTTGTCTACAAAGAGATCCTCACGGAAAAAAATAAAAATAAAAGACGGTAAATTAGTTTTTATAGTGTGTGTGAATAGCAGATATACCTAATTATTTATGGGCAACACCTTACCATACTGATCATTGATTTTCCATAAAAAACTTAGTTTTTTTTTTTACTTTTTTTTCTCTCCTTTTTTAAAATATAAATATATATATTTCTCGGCATGAATTGTGATTTGTTTTCCATTCTGTGGTGCTCTCCGCTTGTAGAAGCACTGTAGATCCAAATGCATTTTGGACAGCTCCACATTGAACAAAAGTTTCCCGACGTAATTGTTTGTGTTTGCAGTGAAAGCCGCAGCGCTTCTCGACGATCCAAATCTGTCGGTCTCGTTCCGGCCCGGAGCATGTGCAAGTTAGCCAACGTCTATCCGCGCCTTCTGCTCCAAAGTGGAGGTGGAGCACCGCAGCAGCTGCTAAATGCTACACCACGCTCTCAGTTCAGTGCTGTAAATTGCCAAAAAAGAAAAAAAAAAAAGAGAGATGACCATCAACTTCATTATAACAACTGGTGCTATATATATACACATATATATATAAAAAGCAAAAGTAAAAAAAAAAAAAAACATCTGTGGTGCTTTTTTCTTTAATTTCTTTGTTTTTGTCCTTGCTTCAGACAAAATGTAGCTACACAATCCTGTACTGTACTGTAGATCGCTGTTTGGCCGGTCGATCGACCCGCTGCGCTCACACGAGGCAGAGGTGTTGGAGTTTTTTGTTTTGTTTTTCCTCAGCTGTCCTTTCAGGGAATTCCAAGATCCAATTAGATAAACTTCTTGGAGGGGCACATTTTAAAGCAACTAACTTTGATAGATCGTTGATTTGAATTGACTTTCTTGTTTTGTTTTGTTTTGTTTTTTGGTCAGTGCTTCTACATCAGCCACATGGATGGGTGCAAATAGTATCTACACATTGTCTTTGGTGCTGAGCGTAATAACGTTCACATTCGACTTTAGATATTTCAACCATTAAAAATCCCCGTTAGAGGCTTTCGAGCACGTCACAGGAAGTGAGTTTCCCTGCACCGGCGTCGTCACCCGGCTCGTTCCAGATCGCGTCGGAAAGTTCTCGCGAAACCAAACTTCTCCGAAAACCCACGGATAGATGAACCGCAAGTAGTGAAAACGGTGTTTTGATACCGGAGAAAAACATAATTCTGTGAGTCAAATCTTTGTTGTTACTGCCTTGTTACAAAAAATAAAATAATGAAAAAAACAGATTCAATTTATCAGAAAATGATTGTTTTGGGGTTTTTTTATGATCATAAAATGCAATACAAGAGGAAGGAGAACAAACTAAACTCATATCTTCTAATTGTTCTGTCTTCCTGAGATGAGTTGACTTGTATTTAAAACATAACTAACATTATTTTTTCATTATAGGCATAGACAACTCTGTACCTCAAAATATCTCTTTATGAAAATCTGAAGTCCTACATGTGTACCTTGTACATTTTGTGTTTGTTTTTCACCTTTACGAAGTCCATCCTCATGACGCTTTTTATATTGGTTTGCACAAACACTAATAGGAATGTATGGCTACTGTAATTCCTGCTCACCCTCCCACCCTCCCCTAAAAAGTGAAAGCAACTGAATTCAACAGTTTTTTGTATTTGAAATGTCTTGGTATGCTTGTTCTAGTTGTATATTCAGAATGGTGTATATTACATCGGTTTTTATTTAATAAAATGTTTAAATTTTCTAACAAGACTCTTGGATTTATTTCATTAACTGGGATCGCTGAACGTTTTATGCGGTCAGGATGCAATTCAGCTTACAGATTTTCTGACTGATTTCAGAAGAATTTTCTTTCACAGCTGAGAATCGCATACCTGCTGTAACGAGTTCACCTGCTAACATTCACAGACTGTAAGGTTAATAAACAGACTGACCACATCAAACTCTTGAGGGCAAGTTGGCTTTATGGGAGTAAACGAACAGGCTGACCACTAGGGGGCGGTAATATCATGTAAAAGAGTTTGGAACGTTCATTTAAAATGAGATTATGAGTTTTGAAAAGACTATTCAATGTTGACTTTATTTTAAACATAGCACTGTCCATACTTTAACAAACAAAAGTATAATATTTGACTGTTTTTAAACGAATAGGAATTTCTGATGACTTTGTCAACAAATAAGCAATTTCCCCATGAGGATCAATATATCTGATTCCAACCGTTTTCATTTATAAATCACAAACCCAAAATGACTCAAGAGTATTTTTAAGATTAATGTCATCATTACGATTCTCCATAATAATTTCTGACAATGGAACAAGTGAAAAAGTTCCAGAATATTTTTAGGATGTGAAACAAAAGGGGGAAACTGACTCAATACAGAATCCGAATGATTATGATCACCATCACTTCACCTGTCATCCAGCACCTATTTGCATATTTTTTTTGTTAATAGTATATTAGTATTGTAAAATCGTGACGATATATAATGGTTTATTATGCCTTTTCAAACAAGACATTCTTCCAAGCTAAATTTGAGCGTAACACAAAAAAACGGAAACTTTTTCTTTGATCATTTGTTCAGTTGGTTTAATGACTAGTTGGTGACAGAAAACCATCTTCCACTGTCACCGTCTTCTCTGAATTATTTTTAATTGGACCCTTGTCTGTCCCTGGAACAGTCTTATACAATTAAACGACAGACGTTTTCATTTTTTTTTCCAAGGGAGCCGTCGTCTTTTTGCAGGATCAGCCTTGCTCAACAGGGCCATCTGCTGGACAAATCTCTACCTCGGTCCTTGTCCATTGAGCCTGCACAATAACACGATGCTTAGGTGCAAATGAAAGGACAGAATCGAGTATCTCAGTACTAAAATATGACTTATAACAACACAATGAAACTTTGTTTTGCCTTTTCATATGTCTAGTGAAAGTAAATAGGGATTTATGACCTGCTCCACTTCTTCTACACTGACCTTGACTGACAAAATGTGGGAGAGGCCAAACAGATTAGATAGAAAACTGGACTTAACTTCACTGTTTTACATTTAAAGTCCAACTGGAGCTGACTTCAGATCAGGCCATAAGACAGGATTAGACAAACAGTATATAAACTGGAAGCATTTGTCTTCTAAAGCATTTTGAGACGACATTTCCAGCAAATATGGGTAAAAACAAAATATTTGAACCGAATGCTTTTGCGCCGCACTATTGTTTAAAGTGTGAAAGGAGTTTGATTGTTAGCTGGAACCACCTTTTGCCGTCTCATCCTCTTCAAAAGTTTGACCAGTTGAGCCCTGGCCTTAGCGGGGACAGCCTTCTGCCACTGGACCATAAACTCTTTGTGCTGAGCAAATTCCCACAGCATTTCCTGCCCATGATTCCTGTACAGCAATACAGTTCCCAGTTAGCCTCCGAAGATGGCCAAGATGCTGATACGTATTGCACAGTCAGCATTTCTTCCAGTCGAGAACAAACCTGACTTCAGGATTAGAATCCGCACACATCTTGCTGACCGCAATAAGGAAACCTCCTGAAAACCTCCTTCCTGCTTTCAGGATATAATCCTCTCCGGTGATGTTTTTCAGCTGGTGGATGTGCTGCGCCGCGCTTTCTCTCACAGCAGCACAGTGATGACTGAAGGAGGACAAAGCCAGAAACATGTCTCCGTGTGATGCTGATATGAACTTCCTCAGACATCCCAACTCCTCCTACCTCAGGCCTGTGCTGAGCAGAACATTCAGAACCTTAGCAGGACTGCAGCCCTTCACCAGAGCGTCCAGGGCCAGATTAGCTCTCTGGTGAACGCTCTCGTTATTGGTCTGTGCCAGCTTCAGCAGCAGAGCGTCGCTGGTCCTTTCTGCCTCGGGGTCCATTGACTTTCCCAGCTGAGTGTGGAGCTCTGCTATGGTGTCAATGACAGCGCTGGCTAAAGAAGGACGTTGGTTTTTAACCTGCAAAGGAAAAGGAAACATCTTTGACGTCAGAAAACTGAAACCGAGACCGTCGCTGAGAAAACATGTCTGCACCTCCTCTGTCAAGACTCGGCAGACTGCGTGCAGTTTGGTCTTCAGCTGCTCTGGGTGGTGCTGCGCCAGATCCGCGACAGATTTCATTCCCTCCATTTTCTTTTCCCTGCGTTGAACAAAGATTATTAGGTTGTTGCTCCAACAACAGAACTCTGTTTCCGATACTTACCCATGCCAAGGCCTCCCGAACAGAACAAACTTTTGGGAAACCCAAAGACACTTGGTGCCCCCCACTTTCAAAAACACAGGTTTACAGTATAAACTGTGTAGAATAATCTCCCTGGAGAGGTTTGGTAGAGTTGCTGCTGTCATACCAGTTGTGGGAGCTGAGCTGTCTGAACCAGGGCGGCGCGCTCTCTGACGTGTCAGTCAGGGGTGGGAATCTGGTCTTTCCTGCCATGATGTGGGACTTTGGAGGACTAAGAGTTTTCTCATGGAGAGGTTCCGTTCTGTCGGTCGGTACGAGCTCCGCAGGTTGCGCTGCGACGACGACCATCTTTTTCGAAGAGGTCAGCGGCTGTGGCAAGACAGAGCGGTCGACGTGGCGCTGCAGTCTCTGTGGTAACGGCTCCTTTTCAGCTGTAGCTGACTGAAGTCTGCATCCAGATGCTTCTTTGTCTTTTCAGAAAAAAACAAAAAACAAAACCAGAATAGCTACCTTCCTTGGTGTAATGTAACCCCCGTCAGCTGATCTCATGTCAGATATTTCTTACATGAAAGAAGTCATCTTCAGTCCATAACCTGATCTTACCTGCTTTGCCTATTATCACCGGGAGGCGAGACTGTCTCCTGGGTTTCGGTCCCGGGTGAGGAGCTGAGACGAGGATTGAGCTGGGCCAGCTCCCCAGATCGGTGGAAAACCTCGTCTCTCTGGGTGTGTGTGCGTCTACAGGGCTCAGGGTTTCCCCCACATCCCCGCATTCATTTGAAATGTTGGGCAATGGATCACCCTGCGCTGCTGCCTGACCACCTGGAAGCTGCTTCTTCTGAAACATGCAATCCTCCTCATAACATATCTTCTTAGTGTCCTGTGTCTGGCCACTTTTGTCCTTCATGTTCGAAGTGTGCTTCACCTTCTTTCCTCTCGGTGATGATTCGGGGAGCGGCGAGAGGCTTGCTGGAAGCTGAGGTGTGGGGAAGGTGTCCTGCAGTCTGTCCAGGACAGCTTTTCTGCGGGCTGTTTGTGAGGCACACAGTCTCTCAACACTCTGGATCAGACCCACCCTTTTGGCCTTTTTAGCTTTTCCAATCTCGACAAACCAAGACTGATGAGAACCATCCCCGTTGCTTTGGTCCTCTGGTGCCTTTGACTGTAAAATTCACAACAAAGTTTTAGTAGCAAGTTTACATCCACTTATCAGGAACGTAAATACAATATATTTAAGGGAAATTGAATCAGTTTCCTGTGTGAATTTTTGCTGTAACTGTCATAATGATGGCTATATTCTTTGTGGCAAAGTTTGTAAACTCTTGGAACACAGTTTACAGGAAAGCCGGTTTTACCATCAGCATACATAAATACTTTTCATTAAAAAAAATCAACACTAGACTGCAGCTTGCTTCTGACAACATGGACAACTCAAAACTATTTCTTAAATCAGCAGCTAGATGACTTGTGGAGACTGGTTTTAGAGTGGATTGAACAGTAGCTGTTTGAAATGGTCTTCTCAAAGCCCTGACTTCTATGCTACTGAAAATTGAAAAATGTCATTTAAAATGTGAATTCTAAGCTGGATCTGGGCCAGATTATCGATCAGCTTTAATGAATAATTCTACAAGGAAAAGGATCAAATATCCATAAAAAAGGAAACACAAGAGTGCATTTACATGTATGTTACACGAGAGTCTGGATATATCATTTTCATAGGAAGCATTCACAAATAATTTAAACTTGAGCCTTAAATTCTTGCTTCTAACAAATCTTTGCAGTATAAAAAGTAGAAGTCAACCTGCATCTTAATGACTCAGGTATTGTACAGTATTTTACTATATTATATTTTTCGACTTTTAAAAAAATAACAGTTTCTCCTCCAACATATTTCACGATCCTATCCAGTTGTACATTTTTACTTTAGTTCATGCTAATAAAACTGTTCACCTATTACCTCATTTCTTTTGCTTTTGCTCTTATTTAAACTAAACCCAGAAATATATAAAAAAACCCAAACATTTAAACTTTGAAAATGCACATTTCTAGTTTATTGTTTTGCATTTGTCATTTCACATTTGTCAAGCAGAGAGGGCGATAGAAAGTTAGCCACTTACCTCAGTGTCTCCAGAGAGGCTGCTTTCTGATTCTGGAGCAGACATGGGGCAAACAGACTGGAATCGCTTTCAACAACGAAACCTCCAGGAACCAAATAGAATAGAATGAAATGTTTGGGGGGGTTGGTGCTGTTTTTTTTAATTTTTATTTTTTCCCATGGCAACACATGATGTCACAAGAAAACTTTTGTTTACTTTTAAATGTCATGTTTAATGTGTTTTAAGCACATTAAAACTTAAATGGGTGGGTCCATTTCTACTGCAAAGCGTTTCACTAATCCAGCTAATTGTGTTGGGACTTGGCTAAACATTCACTCTTTTATTAGGGAAACAAAACATAGATAAAAAATTAAATTGAATCTATTAATAAAAAGTCTTTCTGATCTTCTGATAAATCCATAATTTGTATCGATCAGAACTTGAAACTGAAGTGTTCGTTTCAAGGTTTCTTGGTGACTGTCTTACCGCGAGATCAGCGGTTGCTAGGAAACCAGCCCCGACATTCTTTTTTTCCACTCTCCTTTTGAATCCCGCGAGAACTGATGTTGCTAAGCAACCAGTATCAACATTCGCCTGTAGGAGAAGGGGGGATTGTGTGCGGAATTATTTTTAGCCTTTCTCGGCTCGTGTGATGGAGGTGAGTTTGGTTTGTGTAGAAACAGTTCTGGAACAGTAACTGAACCTGAAGGAGGAAATATATTCATGTGGACTGAATACATTATTATTTTTGCATATTTGGACATTATCTTCACATTTGCTTCGCACGTTTTGATACCTTTTTTGTGGGTGGGCACGCAGCGGTACGAGCCGCCTTATAGGTGACGGATGAATAATAAATAAATAAATAAATAAATAAATAAATAAATAAATAAATAAATAAACCCTCCCCACCCCACTGAGAGACAAGGGTGTAAAGAAAATGGATGGATGGATAAATAAATAAAGAGACATTCTATTGGGTGTAGAACAATAGGTGCCTGCCATGCATTACATGGAAGGCAGTGACTGCCTGTAATGCTAATGGCATGTCCCAGTTATTCACCTCCTTGGTCATCTCTCCCTTCTTATTCTGCTTACAAATCAACTTTTTTTTTTTTTTTTTACAGAAAACCTTTTTGATGTCAAAAAGAAATCCCTTAACCCAGTAAAGAGCAGACCACTTTTCTTGTGTTCTGATGTGACATAAATCACATTTTACTGTACTTATACTGCTCTGCTTTATTTCCAGGAAACAGAATTTGAAGGAGACGACCGTTTTGAGTCGTTGGAGGAGTTTCAGGTTGTCCTCAGTGAGCTGTCCAGTGACAGCAGCCTGGACAGGATCAGGGCGGAGTACGAGAAACTCGTCCATGCTCTGAAGAAGTCGCGGGAGAATGAAAAGAGGCTGATGTCGAAATGCAGGGAGCTGAACGCAGAGATCGCGTCGACATCAACCAAAGTGGCAACTGCCCTGAAACTGTCCCAGGAAGATGAGATGACAATAACGTCACTCAAGAGGGTACGGCTTGATTGGTTTATGAAATATTCTCTCCATAACTGTTCAGCCAGTTTCTATGTCTGTGTCACTTAGAGCAGATATTCAAACTGCTCTTTCATTATCTCAAATGAACTTCCCCTAAACTACCTTTAGGGAAAGTTTGACATTTTTATATTCAGGAACTCAACAGATTCTGTCGGTGAAAAATGGATCTTTGAATGTTTCAGGAGTTGGATAAGGTTTGGAAGCTGATTGATGCAGCTCATGATAAAGAGAGAAAGGACCAGGAAACAATCAAGGATTTAAAAGAAGACGTTTTCAAGCTCACAAAGGCAACTGAGCAAAAAACCGGACATCAGCAGGACGAAGAACGAATGTGAGTCAGGAAAGGGTCCCGCTTTCTCTTTTGCTACGCACTGTGAATACTCTAAATTAAGTTTATAACTCCATCTGTGGTGTTTTTTTTAAGGGATTTAATTAAAATGATTGAAGAGTTGACTAAGGAGAGAGACCAGCTGACAAATGCGGCGGCGGACCTAAGAGAGAAACTAAACAAGGCGACTGTAACTCAGCAAGACATAGAGGCTCAAAAAGAGACAGCCGTAGAGAAGATCTTGAAGGTGAACGTTGGGTATGCTTTCAGCGAGGGAAGTGAATATGAACGTGGACGAACACAGTTGTGTAGGAGTCTGAGATCAGCTTCGCGTTTCTGCTTCCAGCTTCAGCAGGAGCTCCAGGTGCAACAGAACGAGCTCTCCAGAGAGACGAGACTGAAGGAGAAGCTCGACAAGGAGATCCAGCAGCTGCACACCGACATGGAGGCCAAGATGGCCGAAATCAAAGCTCTGACCACGCAGGGACAGAAGGCCAGAGAGGAGCAGCAGAGACTGGAGCAGCAGCTCAGAGATCTAAAGGTAAGCAAGGCAAGTGGGAGGGAACTGTCTGCTATTCAGATCAGTTTATTTATACAATGTCATCTCAAGGCACACAAAAAAAACATTGTTTCAATCCAATCACACATACAGGCCAAGTGACCTATTTATTATTCAAATTGGTTAAGGAAGTTTTCTGTGTGTGGAAACCCAGCAGATTGCATCGAGTCATTGAGTTTGGACAAAAACTTTTATTTCAACAGCTCCGTTTGCACACAAGGCGATTCAAAATGCAATCCAAAGGAACAGAAAAACAAAAAAGTGATATCAACTGTTGATATTTTACATAAGAAACTGTAAAATACCAATTGCATATGAAATTAACAGATTGTAAATGATAACATAGCTGAAGAATTGATGAAAATAGGCTTGGATTTTACTGGGTGCCGTGAACCATAGTGTTTTCAGTCCCGATTAAGGAGATTTCTTTTTCTGAAGCTGAGGGGCTTCAAAACTAAACGCTGATTCCTTTCATTTAGTTGTGCTTCTGAAAACACTGACTGAGTGAACATGATCTGAGAGGTTCAGACCTGACAGGTAACTTTAACATATTGATGTATTCAACACCCAAAACCATTTAGTTCCTCGCAGACTTAACGATCTCAGCTTTTCCAGCTGAGATACGATCCTTTGTCTTGGTGTAGGGCAGGCAGGGCTCCGATAGCAGGATTCTGGAAACGCTGATGAGACTTGCTAATAATCACTGCCAAAAATCTCAGGTTAGGCTGACTCAGACCGTAGACTGAACTCGTGTCTGTTGTGTCTGTCTGTCCATCCCGTAACACCCTGGGTTGATTATCAGTGATTAGAGAACATTACACACCAGTCTGTCCCTTCCTGTCACAGGTATTGCATGAGCGCTTGACCAAAGAACTGGAGCAGATTCAGGCGAAGAGCAGCAAACTGCAGCAGGAATGTGAACGTCTCTTGGCCGCCAGGGAACAGCTCTCTGTGGAGAATCATCTGAAGGCAAACGAACTGAAGGTATTTGCTTTGTGTTTCTCATCATTTCTTTGTTCCTTTCTGAAAAACAGGCATGCAGCAACCTGGGCTTTCAGAAAGGGCATTCAGGGGCAGTAGCCCACGGCGACGAGTTTTGGCAATGGCAAATGTATTGTTTTTTTGTGTCTATTGTGCATATCGTGGTGTTTTATTAAAAATATTGAATTTTTATTAATTGAAACTACGCACAAATATTTGAAAACGATCACCTTTTTGAGACCAACATCGATCCATCTGCCACACGTTTGACATCAACCATCCGTCAATTTGAATCTGCAAATGTGTTGACTTGTCTATTCATGTCCTGTAATTTGCAGGAGGGTCCCTCATTCTTCTAAATCCAGCCCTGAGAAAGAAAAAGAAGCCAGAGTCGTGTCGTGCCATTTACGGCTTTCTTTCACAAAATCCTTTCTCTCTCCCCTTCTTCTGTCATCCTTTGTTCGTCAAATAGATAAGAGAGGAGGAGCTGAGTCACATGCGTCAGGAGGTCGCCAAACAGACCAAGATGAGAGAAGCCATCCAGAAGAAGTACCACCACATGGAGGACCAGAAAGCTGAACTCGACCGACAGAGGGAGACGCTGAAAGCTCAGATTGCTGGCCTGGAAAAAGGTTTGAACGTTTCTGACGTACGAACCGATGACACCAGAAATGCAGAAAGCTGCATATTTTTAGCGTGTAGTTCAACATTCGGCTCAAACACATTTACCACATTGTTCAAAAGTCTGACCTCTAGTCTAGAGTACAAAACCAGGAAATTCTGACACTGACATACCAAACAAAGATAAAGCTGTAGGTTAAAAAACTAACTGCAGCCGGAGTTTCGTCATTTCGCTAGGAAGGAAAGACATCAGCAAGGATGTCGATAAACATTTCTGTTTCATCTCACTTTGGGACAGCTAAGATAAATTATTTAATTTCTATCATTCCAGAAGTAGAAGCTGCTAATGTCAGTTGTTTTATATACAGGTGGGCTGTTTGGAGCGAGTAACAATGTTGGGCTTTTTGCTTCTCCTAATTTTCCGTATGCAGATCTTGAATCTTCCCGGAAGCAAGTGGAAGTCGACAAAAAAGCCAAGGAGGAGCTGATCCGAGAGAGGGCCAATCTGCACAAGGTTACCTCTTCATTTTAGCATCATATTAATATACGTTTCAACAATCTGCTTAGTTTGGTACAAACTCTGCAGATTTGACACACCCCTTCACCGTGTGCTCCCTTCTCTGTGTGGCATGAACTCGTTTCCCCCCCTGTGGACAGAACATGACCAAAGCCGTGCAGTCGGCTGAGAAGCAGCAGGACCTCATGAAGCTTCTGGAGCAGGACAAGAGAACCTTGGAGCACGAGATCTCCGGGTACCGGCAGGAGGCGCAGAAGCAGCGGAAGATCATCCAGCAGCTGGAGAAGGAGCGGGACCGCTACGTCAACGAGAGCAGCAGCCTTATGCAGAAGGCGGGTCACGCAGATGGGCCAATCGTGGCGAAGCTTCTCTTACCGCTGCATATTTTTCACCTTGACTAAGAGGTGTTTTTTTTTTTTTTTTTTTTTTTACCTTCTGCAGGTGCAACAGAAGCTCACTGTTGTCGAAGACAAAGAGATGGAGATATTTGATTGGAAAAAGAAAGCTACAGAGTCGGAGTGTAAACTCAAACAGCAGGAGAACCTGCTGGAGTCGATCATAGCGGAGAGGAATCTATACAGCAAAAACCTCATCGAGTCTCAGGTGAGAGATGATGATGATGATGATGATGATGTCACAGGAGGTGGCTAACTTTAGTCCAGGGGGCTCTGTAAGATCAGATCTATGTTAACAACACCCACTCTGTTCTTTTAATTTCCTTAAGGAGGAGATTTCTGAAATGAAGAGGAAAATAAAGACTATGAGCAACCAAGTTGCCCGGCTTAAAGACGACATCTCTGAGAAGGAGCAGGAACTGGTCAGAGATCAGCAGGAGCAGAAGAGGCTGGAGAAGGAGAACGAAGCCTATAAGGTGCTGTTCCCTCCGTCTCCACCAGGGGGCGTGGAAGGACCGATAACCTGGATTTAAACGTTTTTAGATATTTCTTATTTTGTAACAAAGTTTAGGACCTTCTTTTGCGAAATAAGCTAATTTTGACACGTACTCAACCTAGCACCAAAGCTATTTTATCGAAAAATGTGTTTTTTTCCGAAATTGCCGTGTTTGCATTAGGTGAATTTATTTTCGAAATGTCAAATTGCACAATTATATGGCTAATGGAAACGCAACTTCTGTCACTGTCACATGACCAAACAAATACCACATGACCGACTTCCTCTAACTCCAGAAACACACGGCATTAAGATTGAAACAAATATCTTTTGCCAATTTTGTCCCAGTTTTATGGATCAGACTGATAACTGCCATACCGATGTTAGTGCTGCTGATATATCGTGCATCCCAATTATCTTGCGTATGTCTTCTATCAGGGGGATCTACAGGCAATAAAACTGCAGCTGGAGGAAACGAAGCAGCTTATTGACAGCCAGAGGACAGAACAGCAAAAACTGCAGATGACAATCACCAGCATGGAGGAAGACCGAGTCCAGGAGCAGAAGCAGCTGCAGCAGGTAAAGCAGAATACCAGCACCCAGCAGTCAGACCATGACCCCACTTACTGTCTGAGCATGTGCTGCTGTGACGGAAGGTGATCCGAGAGCGGGACAGCCTCGGCAAGCAGCTGCTGCAGCGGAGTGATGAGCGCGCTCTCCTGCTTGAGAAGATCCGGATTCAGCAGTCCATCCTCGGCAAGGGGGACTTCCACTACAAGCAGAGGCTGGAGGACATCCAGCTGCTGAAGCTGGAGATCAAGAGGCTGCGCCGCAGCAACGACATCCAGGACAGGACCTTACCCAACACAGAGGAGCTGAGGTAAAACACAACCCCAGGTCGCCTCGTCAGGGTAGTGACAGATGAAGAGCCAGAGAGCAGAGGAGGCGACCCGCAGAGAGCAGGATGTAGAGCTGGAGAGGAAGGCTCAGTCAGAAGCAGCTGGGAGGGTGCTGAAACACAGACAGCTAGGTAAGAAGAACCTCGTCTAAATGAGACGATCCACAGTCACAGGAAAGCTTTCTTGTTCAGGACACTCCGGTCCGGTCGTTACCTTTAAAGTCATGTAGCTGGAAAGCTTTTCTGTTGACGGTTGGTGTTAATCCTCCACCCTGTCCTTCAGGACGGAGCAGCTCCGCCTGCAGACGGAGCTGCTCAGAGAGAGAACCAGGAACAGTGTTCTGGAGGACCAGCTCAAGCCCATAAATATTCACCGATGGAGGCAACTGGAGGTGAGGCTTTAAGGTCAGACTGTCTGCAGCTGTTAGCTCCGTTTGTCCCCATCTTCACTGGATACGGACATTCTTCTGTCACGCTTTTAACACAGACGGTAAAAGAAGAAATGATGAGAATCTTGACCGTTTGTGGATTGTTTCCTAACTTGCAGGGCAGCGACCCGGGAAAGTATCAGCTCATCCAGAAGATTCAGGCCCTGCAGAAGCGACTGATTGCTAAAACCCAGGAGCTGGAGGAACGGGGACTGCTGCTGCAGGTAGACGCTCCGCCCGCAGCTGCTGCTCTTCATGGAGCAGATCAGGACGAGAACACTGTCTACTATAAAATTTAAAAAGTATTTATTTCTCTGTATACATGGGAACATAGAAGTGTTATTTTCTTTGTAACACCAGCTCCAGTTCCATTAACCATAAAATTGTGCAAATTGAAATTCCAAAATTAAATTTGCCTAATGGGAACATACCGAAAAACACACGTTCTCACTTTTCTCTGTCTTTTCTAACTCACTCATGTAGGAAAAGGAGAAGCTGTATGTGGAACTGAAGCAGGTTCTTGCCCGACGGCCCGGTCCCGAGGCAGCCATGCAGCTCCAGCAGTACCGCTGGACCATCGGGGACCGGACCAAAAAGCTGCAGGTATTTTCCGTCCCTCTCCTTTAGTCGCTTTGATTTAGGTCGTTCCTGCCGATTTGTTCATGTCTGGTGAGTTTCCGTTACGAACCGTCTCTATATTTGGGGGTAACGTCCGCAGGCTCTGATGGCAGAGCTGAGGACGGTCGACTCAAAGATGAACGAATACAAACGGGAGAATCAAAGACTGAGCGGCGAGCTGGCAAATATGAAGAAGAAGTATCTGAGTCAGAAAAGGCGTCGTAGGTAAGATCCGTCTCAAATGGTGATGAAAGTCCGCAGCGGCCGTGTTCTGTGCTGTTTGCTCCCTGATGGCCCGCTATGTGTCTCATTAGTGAGCAGAGAAGCAGGACCACGGCGCAGGAACAGGAAGCTCTGCCCCAGCTGAGCAGCACGCCTCGCTTCGCCAGAGCGGCCTTCAGGGTTTACAACCCGGTCAAACTCTGACGCCCGCCGTCTGCATTTTCGTTACAAACGTGCGCAAATCTTTGTTTATATTCTGCTAATGTTGAAAAAACACAACTTTGCAATTGCGGTGTTTTGTGCGTTAAAGCGGCAAAACCTCTTATACTTGGGAGCGGCTACGTATGTGGCGTTTTGGGGTGAATTGTATTTGCTGATTTTACAGAAGAGCTTTGGATTCAAGACGTTCAAATAACACAGAACTTTTTATGAACTGCGACGCTGTGAGAGATCTGGTGGAGTCACCAAAAAAAACAAAAACATCATCTTACCACTTAGCACCTCATCCTAGCTCAAAAAATATGAGTTTTTTTTTTTTTTTTACTTCCATGTTGCCTTTAAGTGGATTTATTTTCATTATTCCAATTTGCACAATTTTATGGTCAA